CAGTTTATCTCCAGCTGAGGGTTAAGCTCTTTAAGAAAGGAGGAGGCTTTGTACTCATAATGCTACAGCGGTTCTCACAGGAACAACAAAAACCTGAATACATTTTCCTGGTATTCCTGCACTTTAAAGTAGCAGTTTACTTTGCACAGTTTGGGTGTCCTGAAAAGTGATTTTGAATTCTTGGAATTTATTATTCCATTGCAATAACCAAAATTTTCTACACTGTCACATAGATTAATAGTTAAACTCAAAACCATCTAACCATACATACACGAGTATCTCAGCTTAGTCACAGTGAAAACAGAAAGAGAAGACAAAGGTAATAAAAGACAAAGCTAAGGAAATCTAACACACTTTAAAATAGGAGCAATGGATAAATCTTGCTCTGTGAATGCTGTGCTACTAAATATTCTGATATCTTGTTTTAGTTTGTTGAGTCAGTGAAATAGTTTTTCTTTCCCTTACACATTTTTCAACTTCTGTTAATAACCAAAGTACTTAGAGAAAGCAGTGCTGAAGGGATTGTCTTGTATTGCTGGGCTACATTCAGCACAGGTAAGGATCTCATCAAAAGGAAAAGGATGACACACAAGTGAGAGGAAAAAACCCAAAACCAACAAAAAAACATAAGTAAAATTGATGCAAAGACAAGCTTAAGAGAAAAGGAAAGAAAAATGTGAGGCAGAGGAAGGGAAGAGAAGAGAAAGGTTTTCACATGTGATTACTCTAAATAAATTGTCTGCTACTCAAGGAGACACAGACCACAGGGAATTTTTTCATCTTCCTGACTAAACAATATTTTATAATAAAAGCTTTTCTGAAGATGCAAATAAAACTAGCACACGACTTTATTTCCCACTTCTACCAGCACTGCATTGAAAGGATGCACTGAAAGGGTGCAGTGCCAATCCCCAGGGCGTTGAAAGTCAGAAATTTTGAATCTAGACTTACATAGTATCAGATAATACAAGAAAAACGAATCCATATATTTCTGTAGCCATGTGGGTATGAACAGAGGTTTCCTCTAATTCCAGTTAGGAAATGTGGCAACGTTTCCCCGGTGCTCTTTGTTACCTATGCTGAGGGTTATCAGCGGCCAATTCACAGAGCTCACAATTCCATAATTCACTTAAAGGCAAAATCCAGGTGCAATCACACCGGCAACTCAGATTGTTTGAGATAATGTGATGGATCCTGTATGCATCAAATGAGGGAGTTCTCACCCAGGGCCAGCAGAGGAATAGCTGGGTGGGAGCTCTGATGGGATGGTACAAGGAGCAGATGGAAACAACAGCCGCTTTCAGCAGCCAGACACGGAGATCTGTCAGGGGCTGTGTAAGCACAAGAGCAAACTGCTGTGTTTCACTGGCACCTCTAATGCTGCAGGACAGGCTTTCACATTCCAGCTCTCGTGGAAAATGAAAAGGCAAAAATAAAAAGAATTTAATGTTGTCACATATTTCTCCAAGGCAAACCAGACAAGAGTTAAAAGAACAACAAAAAAAAACCCGTCTCCTTAAAAATCCTTCTACTCTTTCTGATTTATCCTGCAGAGGATTCATAATCCTGCAACTGATGAAACCATAGCATGTTACCTTGGTAACTGTAACTCAAATTCAGTCTTTAGAATACACTCAAAGGTCAGACTGCATGAAAAGTTAAGGCTAAGGAAGGTATAATTCATATTGAAAGGCAGAGTACAGGAAAAAAACCAACAAACTGCTCCAGTATTTCAAATTACAAAGATTCCAAACAATAAATATAAACATGTTTGGGGGAAAAAAAAAAAAAAGATCACACAATGTCACCACTGAGACTGCAAATAGAAACCTACTTTAGGAAACTCTGAATACATGTTACAACAACATCTGTATTTCTGTGAAGATGCTAGTGCATCAAATTATTGTCATAACACTTTCTGTCATCTAAAATGAAAACTTGTGTATTCTTTGAAAGGTTTTTCACTGCTATATGCTACGAAAAACACAGTCAGGTTCACTAAATAAGCAAAAATTTCATTCCATACTTTCATCCCATACAAGGCATATTTGTCAATATTTTATTCAAAGCTCTGTTTTCCTGCTTTCTTACAAAAGCAGCCGAATTTCTCCAAGGATCAGCTGCAGAACTAAAGCAGTTTCAGACTCAAAGATCAATCTGTGTCCATACATTTGAAGCATTAATGAAATACATTATGGTCAAATATGCTCAAATTATGTATAATATATAATAGCAAGACAAGCTTTTCATTTATGTCATGTTTGTGAATTGTAAGTAGCACAAAGGTCTGTAATTTTAGAAATGTATCTATGGGTGTACAGACAGTGTGATTCTGTATCTAGGAAAATGCTGTGAACTCACAACCAGGCTTCGAGTGTAAAATGAAGCAGAATTAAGGCCAAATTTATAACTGTAAACTTGGAATCTCAACCTCTGTGTAGGTGCTCCACAATGCACCCTTAGGGTTTCATGTTAAATTTCAGAGAGAGAGATGCAGAAAAAAATAAATATCTAAACCCACACTTTCATAGAGAAGTTAAGAATGAAAAATTCTGACCCCACAATTTTGAAAATCATTAGGGAACCAACTTTGGCATACACCTGGATAGCTCTTCAGAAAGCTCCATCTTTAAAGTTAGTTCTATAAAAGAAAGCAATTTTAACATGTCTCCATTTCTATATGACCTTGAGTCCAAGGTATTCCAAAAGTGATGTCTTATTCAAAAAGAACATGAAAACACAGCAGTCTGCCCCACAAATCTCTGCAGTTCTCATGTGAGGGAGGGAGTGTTACAGAACTTTCAGGACAGCTCAACAAGAGCACTGACTGCTCCCACTGAAGGACACCTGTACTGATTCAAGAGAAATTGGGATAGCTCTGAAACCAAGGAAAAATGAATTTTTTCCAGCACCGTAGCAGTTGGATATTTTTTGTGTCCTTGGCCCACCAGCTCCAAAAGACAACTTCTCATGTGGATGAAACTCATCTGTAATTTTCTAACCATTACAGCTATCATTATTGCTTAGCAAGAGCTACCTTTCATGCTACTTGATGGCTGCTCATTACAGTACTTAAAATGATGTAACTTTCCTTTTTTTTTTTTGGCTTGTGACCTAAAAGCTCTAGCCAATATTCCATTTGCCTGTGTAGGGTGTGAGCCTGAATCAAAGCTATGAGCACACTAGAATTAAAGACTCAAATGGACTGGTTAAATCCATATCATGGCATATAGCAGAGGATATGTTCAGGGGGTTGAAGAGAGTGAAGGAAATTGTGTAAAAGTTCACGTTGGCATGAACCAGGCATGTTAGAAAGCATTCAAAAATAATCATCCAAAATTATAACTTTCTTTCAGATAGAGAGAAGAAGGAGGTATGGAAATCTGAACTTTTTTTCCATAACTATGAAATACAGACAAAACCCACGATGTGTATTTCTGTGCATATACACACAAGTGCACTGCAGTCACTTGAGGGAAAGTCTGGGTGAAAGTATACTACTATTTTACCTGCAAAACATTTCTATAAGACATACTGGACTTCTAACAATAGCAGGAAAGCTTGTTTGCACCACAGGGAAGAGAAAGGAGTTAGGAACAAGAACGATGTTCAGTTTTGGTCTTTTAATCATGATTAATATGCTTGGGTTCACCATCTAAGGAATCTTCTAAGTTCAAAACTACATCTACCTGACTGTTAAATATTAGTACCTTCTCTGAGGAAGGCAGGAAAGGTGTAGAAAGCTGTGTTGATATTTTTCACCTGCAAACCTTCAATAGAGAACAGAGATAATATCATCTACCTCTTTAACATTACATGCCTAGTAGACAGAAACTTAGAGAACCAAAAAGATAAGGAATAAGCTGCTGCCTGGAATATTCATACAAAATCAAGTTCAACACACCTGGCACTGAAAACAAGGATTCCAGGACTCCAGAACAAAACTCTCACACTGGTAAAAAATGCAGATGTTACAGCTGCATTAAAAATCAATTCTACAACCAGAATCTCATCAGTACTACACAAATGACATACAACTAAAGAAGTAATTGTAATTCTTATTATGTAAGAAAGAAATTACAAGTGAATACAGATAACTTTAAAACTCTTGATGTAAAATAATGTCATTAAATTCTGTGGAGAACGTGTAAGGGAAGACACAGGATAAAATGCACAACAACAAAAAAGTCTAAACTATGCAAAGCTCCATAAAATAAAGTAGTTGTGTTGGATTGTTGTTTTGTATGGGGAGTTGTTTTATTTAGCTGAAGAGTGGCACAAAGGTTGGTTCTGATTTCCTTGCCTTAGGATTACAACCACTATCACTAAAGATCTGTTTCATTTGTTGCAACACACTTTCAGACTAGAAAGCCTCATCGGACTTGTTAAGCAGATCTGTTCTATGCATCAAGAATGCAAACATGAATAAGCCATAGGAGAAGATCAGAAGATTTGGTGATAAGGACCTGCTGTGGACAAAATTTTCTTTACATCATCCCACGGAATTATTCCACTTGGCCTTTTGACATAGGCTGACAGGTATATCCAGGTAAACATGAATTTTATCAACTCAGAAAATAAAAATCAGTATATCACCTCAGAAAAGTGGAAGGGTTTGCAGGAGAATGACACTGATACCGAATGTTCACCTTTCCTTACAAGTTTTCTACGGGGCAAGATACAGCCCAATTTTTTTCCCCTCAAAATACTACATGCAAGTAAAATCTCAAGGAAATTAAATTACATCAGCCTTCAAAAACAAAACATTGTGGCTTCAAAAGGTTTACACTCCAGCACAAACAATTGAGCATGGCAAGCAGTCTGAGCACACAATAAAGCTGTACTTGGATAAGTAACTCCTTGCAAGTGTGCAAAACCTTGCTATTAGTACTCTCATCAAAGATCCTATGGAGTCTTCTCTAGATGACTTTTCTGCAGTTATTTAAATTTTTATTTACTCTTGTCAATGATTTTTTTAAAAATTAAGGGGAGTAGCTTACCACCTGTATGTAACGCCTTGCAATCTGCTGCTGTAGGCTCATTTTCACCCTCTTTAATGTTGTTGATGTTGTCTTTTTCAAGCAGTCTGTCCACCATGGCAATAAGGCAGTTCAAACTCTTTGCCACATTGGCCCACACCCTGTCCTGAAAAAAACAGAATTATCACTGCATGTTACTGAAGAAGGAAGAAAAAAAAAAAAAAAAAGAAAGTTGAGACAGACAGTATAAATGTCTGCAAATTACTAGAAATAGAAATTACTAGAAATATTAGCTGTCAGCATATGACTGTTTCTATCATCCTTCAGCCTATTACCAACTTAAGCCTTTTTCATGGAGATTTTTTTTGCAATGTAAATGAACTCAAACTCTTATGGTTTTAGACGCTAGAGAGCACATGGTTCAAACTTGACATGAAAATGCAAAGTTTCAGGTCTAATAGCAAGGAACTGAGCAGTTTGTCTATTTAAATGATTTCTTAAGAGTGTAGACACATTCAAAGGCCTTGCCAAATCAAACCTGGTGTGGGACTGCCAGTTTTGTCATAGTACTTAAACTCTTTTTGATAATTTAACATATCCTGGATTTTATGACATCAGTTACTGTGCTGAAGTAAATGTTAAATTCAAGGTCTAGAATGAGAAACTTGCTGTCATGGCATGTTTATTAGGTAACAACAATTTCAGTTTCACTCTTCACCACTCACATAAACTGCAATCATGATACTTAACTGAGTTTGTAATAAGTAAGAATTGCAGGAGTAATAGAGTGGTAGAGGAAATTCTGTATGAGCAGAGAACAACATAAATAATGTGGAGCATAAGAAAGAGCTGTTATCCAACAGAGATATAGGGAGGGTCCTTCAGATGCTGGATGCTACAGAAATCAAAGCTCTTGCACCTACTTTTGCAGCACTAAATAAGGAGGAAAAAACCAAGTCATCCAAGAAATGAGGCTGTACACAAGACACGCAAGCAGACTAAAACCAAACCATAACAAACCCACAGAAACCACTCCCCAGCATGTACATGTTTCAGTGCCAAGTCATTCTGAAAATAATGCAGAGCAACCAGAGTTTGCTTGAGGATTAAAAATGGGAAGATAATATCACCACTTTGTTTTGTACTTTACAGTGCCTGAAGCATTATGTATATGTTAGGTCTTCAGGAACAAAAATAAAGTTACAAAAATAACAAGAGAAGGTTAAAGAAAACTGAAAACTCGGAGAAAAACGGTAGTTCCATATAAATGGCAACACTTGGATTTTGAGTGAAGGTAAATCTAGAACTACTACTAAGGCAAGCATTTAAATCTAATGTTACTTTTCAACTATGTGCTACACTTAAGCCTGACTAGAGGGATCTGATCTTTCCCTGCTCCCTCCTCCTGAGAACACAACTGTGACAAGTGACATCCTGACCTAAGAGACATCACTTGGGCCTGCAGACAGAAGCATGGGCTTGCCCAACCTGTACAACAGAGTTCCTCTCCTCCAGCTCCCCAAACCTGATCCCTGGAGCATTCTTGTGAGCTGCCTTAAGGACAATAAGCATCCAGTTTATAGGTGAACATGGAAATAATGGTTTCATTTTCTCCCTAGATAAACCCATGTTTTAACCATACCATGAAAAAGATACTGTTGATTTACAAGAGACAAGAAGCTGCTCACAATCAAGCAGAACTGCATTTATTCCACAACTATTTTAAGTGCTGCATGTACAATGCAACATGTGGAAATATCTGCACCTGTACATGAAACAAACCATTAGACACATGAGTATTTGATATTTAAATACTTAGATACAACTAAAAGTCAAAAGACAGAGAGCAGATATAGATTCCTTCAAAAGTTCCCTCCTTTATGCACCTCAAGCAATCCTGAAAAAACAATTACAGTATGTGTGAAATTACTGATTTTTACCACCCACAAATATAAATTTGGAGAAAGGGGTTCTATGAAGAGCAGTGAAATACTGAAAATATAAAAAATTCTGGCCCCAAGTATCAGGAAGTTTTGCCAGAGAGTGTCAGGGAGCTTCAGAGCTTCCAGTCACTGGAAGTTGCTGGGATATGCAACTCAAGTTGCTCAGTGAGGCTGCAGCAGCGTAATTTCCCTTTCCTCTCTCTGCTGGTGGAGTTTAATCCCCACACAAAAAAGCATTAAGCTCTTAATGAGCATCTGGAGTTATTGCACAAGCAACACAAATACGAGCCCTTGTTTCACTTTGGAAAGAGCACTTTTCTCTTTTCAAACCAACTATTAACCCAGCATTGAGATGATGTCTATGCAATATTCGCACAAACATTCCCTGAGGGTTTAGAAGCAAAATTCATAAACATCTGTAGACAGAAAGCTCGTTCTTATTATCATGTATCTGGCTTTTTTACATACAAGCAAGTGAGAGGGAGCAAGGGCCTGTCTCACAGCTCTTTTTCTCCACATAGGAGGTTCCTGGGATTGTGGGCAGATAGAAAATGTAGAGGTATCTCTCATTCTGCACCAAAAGCAGTCACATTTTTCAAAGAAGGCTGTCGAAATTCTGCAGTTTGGCAGGAACAATTTTCAAGTAAAAATGCAATTTCCAATCAGTGAAAATCAAGCGGCTTTCTATGATTCTCCATGAGAAGAAATTAATCCATTTCATATTGTCATCCTTTACTATTTCCAGAATATTTTCCTGTAGCATAGCATACTTTCCACCGACCTTTCATCTCTATTAGCAGTCTATTTTCAATTTGCCCAAGAACAATCTTACAAGCGATCACTTTACAGCGTGTGCCAGGTTAAAGGACAAAACACAGCCCATGCAGCCTCTTAAGCATGCATTCTTATAAACCCTCTGGGTCAAGTGAAGAATCAGGAGAAATATTTCTTGATACACTGAAATACTAAGACCCTAGTTTCCTAAGCAGAATACTCTTCCCCTGATCACAGGTTTCCCACTAGTTGCTACAGCAATGTGGATGGTAAGTTTTGTGGTATGACAGAATGAGAGACAAGATCTGTCTCTCTCATTGCTGCTTCTTTAAGTACAAAAATCAAGACAATGACAGGAAAGGTGGAAACCTATAATAGGACTTGACCCCACTGAGACAAGGCAGACATATTTACATCTTCTTCCAAACTTCAGAAGCCATCTGGAATGTTATGGAGTCCTGGCACGTGTAGCTAGGTGTTGCTAGTTAGAAATGCCCATAGTCACACTTCTATGGTCACCTCTGCTGTGGCACTGGCAAGCAGACATGAACACTGAAATATCTCCATGGAAAGCTAGGCCTTGGCATCTGTGAAAGCTGGGCACTTCTCCTAGGACAATTAAAAATGAACCTGTAAAATAATTCTCTTTCATTCACCCAACTGAAAAAAATATATATAATTAATTTCCATCTGATCTGAAAGCATCATTAAAAAGGACAGCTTCCTCATTTCAGAGAGCAAGAATGGATACTCTTTTCTGTTACTGCACCTAACTCAATGTCTTCCTTCTAAATACATCCAGTCAGTGGAATTCCAGAGGCTGTCTCTTGGTTTTTAAGTGATTCTCAACCTTTCTGAATTCCCCACAGAACTCCTCAGTCATTTCTTGTCCCTCCATATACACCCCTGCAGTTGGGTGCATTACTTGTGCCAGGTATGACACAGCATCTGCACTTCCCAGCACTCTGAAGATGCTGTGTCTCCTTCATGCCAGTGGATACTCAGATATTTCCTTAAGGTCCTTTTGAGCTCTGTTCAGAGGTAAAGGAAATATCTTAAGTAATGTACATGATTAACACCCCCTTGTGCTGTGGCACACACATCAGTCTTTCAGCCCCATGTCTGATCACAACATCAGCATTTGTACAGAGCTTATTGGAAATTCCATTTTATCTGCTCTTTGTAGCTCCAGCCCCTCGAACCAGTCAGAAGTGTAGAGCAGACTCAGCTCCAAGTGGCAGTGTGCCCACCTTTTCTTGTATTATACATGAAAACTTGCTTTGTGCCATCCTGCAGGGAAGTTCTAGGATAGCAGAAGCAGCTGGTGAGAGAAGAATATCTACCCAGAGGCAATGTAAAACTCTCAAGTTAAATATTTTTCCTTCAGCAGTGATGCCTTCCTGCTGCCTGTGCATAGTGCACCAATATAAATAGCTCAGCCCATACTGCTGTCAGTGACTCTGGGATGAGCCTTTGTACTTCTGTGATGGTCATAAGGCAACACAGCCACATGAAGTGGATGGAAAATGGGGTCAGCTTAAAGAGTTGTTTAAGGATTTAGATTTTAAGCAAAACCAAAATTCCAATTGCAAAATGTAACACTAGTGCTAGATAATAGTGAGAAAAAACCCCACAGCAGCAAAGATGGATAGAGCATTGTGCATGCAAAGCAACATAGCTCAAAGTTTTTTTCCTTTATAGTTGAGTTTTACAGTAGATTAAGTATTTTTTTCAAATTTTATATGCATTTATTCTTTCTCTTTCCATCATGCTAATGACAATTTGATTATTAAAACTCATAGTATTTATCATCTCTGCTGACAGAAAGAACTGAAATCTATCCAAAGTCTAATCGTTCAAATTCAGAATAAAATCACAACATTTCTCAAAGATTTATACTCTCTCAAGTTTGATAGTGGCTCAGTCTAACTCAGGAAACAGTAAAAGATACACTTAATTTTGAAACAAGATAACCTTACTAATTCAGCAAAAAAAAAAAGAAATACCGTTTAAAATTACCCTCTTATGCAATGTAATAGGTGAGGTTTAAGCAGATATTGTTTCATCAGTAATGAAACACAGCAAAGCTTTCTCTTCAGAGATGCTAAACTGCAGTACTAAATTAAAATACAGCTTCCACAAAGTGCCACTTTTTCCAATGCAAAATTTCTCTCTTTTACGAAAGCTATTGTGTTATTTACATTTCTGAATGTTTCAACAGCTGAAAACAAACGTTTTGGCTTAAGTTCAAGGAAAGACCCACCATTCTAGCCCCTCAAGTTGTTGAGAAAACAAGAAAAAGTGAATTAAAGGCCCTAAAACTGGAGGACAAATAAGAGTGAATTATTTATTTATTGTTTAAATCTCATGACTACTTAATGCATGGGGCTAGTAATAATTGCCTTTCTTCTAGAAGAAATATATTCTTCTTCCTTTATTTTTCGTGTGGATAAAAATTACAGTTCAGGTGCAATACCATAGCTCACACAAGTTATTAATTATTTACAATAGAGATGAATATGCTGGCATCCTTTACGTTTATGAGAATACAGTGATGAACTCAAAGTATGAGCCTGGACTGAATAAAAATTGCTTGAGTACGTATGTAACAAAGTAACAGATCTATTATGAAGACATCTACCAAAATAATTGATTTATAAAATCTCAGCCATATAAATAATACATATCTTTGAAAGATATGCTAAGAATGTTAAAATTCAGAAGTTATATTTAACTCTTTTACACAATCTCAGACACCCTCTAAGAACAGAGTGTAAGGGCAAAGGGCTCTGTTCTCTGAGGGTTAATTCACATGTATTTGAAATGGTTACAGCCTGAGGGTTGGAGAGGGGTGTTGGAGGGAGTGGGGAAGAAAAGAACATTTCTCTTGGAACAGAATATCCTTAAATCTGCCCGACTAGCAAAACCAACCCAAGTAAGAAGAAAGAAAGACTATATTTCTGTCTGGGCAAGAAGATACTCATCACCTTCACTGTTATGTGCACAGCCAGGCAGTCTCAGAGCAGCACACTGTACTTAGGAAAATCCTTCGAATTTAGCTTAAAAATGTGCAATGCATCTGAAAAGCACAATTTTACAATTCTGCACCCCTTTCTCCCCGCAATGACATGTGACAAGGACACTTAGGGCTTGAGCTCGTTTATGCTGATTGTAGGGTTTTGCATGGATCACTGACCAAGGGTTTCTGGCTACTTACCCACTCTTCCTCATCATACTCAGAATGATGGGGTATAGAGTCCTGTCGTTTAATCTGAGAAGGATGCTCCTGGTGCTGTGCATCAGCCCCTTCTTCTGCACTGTTTCTAGACACAGCTGGCTTCTTGAGGACACAGCCAGGCCGGGCTGTGTACAGTGCTAAAAGGGCACTTCTGACCAGCTGGTCCTTGAATGCGTGCACAAATAACTCCGTCTAGGAAAAAAACCCAAACAAATGAAAAGGTTAGACCAAAGAATGCAGTACTGCAGCAAAGGTGTACAACACTGAATTACCCTTAGGCAGAGCAGGTAATTTTTTCAGGCCTGCCTGGGAGGCAGAAAACAAAGTAGGCCAACAAATAATGACGAACATTTCCAGGGTTTTAGGGATATCTTCACAATCTACAATCCCAGTGCTCTAAGGATTAACACAAGAGTACATTATCTATCAATAGAGATCATCATCCTTTCACATTTTACTCAAATTACAAATTTTGCCTCAGAGGCGATCTTCAACAAGAGCCAATTCCAAGAGTAACCAACCATAGCACAATAATTTCTGAATCAGTGTTAGATAAAACACGATTAACCAGTTTAATCATCTCCCTAAATAAAACCCACCACTCTACACTGCTGAAATAACAGTATCTGCAAAAGCAGTGTTTCCAGAGATAAATTTCATTACCTGTAGGTATCAACCCAGATATCAGGGTAGGTGACACCTGATCTCAAGCTTGATTTTATGTATATTTTAAAGAAAGGAAACTCTGAAGTAGTTTTCTCAGGTCTTCTGAAAATGCTATTCAACCCCTGTATCATTTTTCTATGTTGGCTGTTACAGCTGGAATTTTACCATATTTTAAAAATCCTTCAAACTCCCTGCATTATTCATCTGCCTTCCACCTCAACAAGGAAAGTAAAATGCTTTCTGCATATGGGCTTCACCATGTCCAGATTGTCACCATGCAACAGCACTTGCTGCTGCCACCAGTGTGCCACACATGCCCACCTCCTGTGCCTCAAACACAGGGTCCCATCTCCCTTGGAAGGCTTGGCTTATTCACTCTATCAGCTGGCAGAACCTATGGAACAGGAGCAGATGAGGTTGCACTACAGGAAGTAACAACTAACAAAGCCATGGGAACAGCTTGGGAGACTCCCAGTTTTGGTTACTTCAACAACACTGAACAGGGTTGATCTGTCAGAGCAGGGACAGAGGGCACATCAGCTGCCATAGCACATCCCACAAGTGCCACCCAGAGTTCCCCTCCCCAGACAGAAAGCCTGGTTTGCAGGGAATGATGACAATTTCTTTCACAGTACAATCATCTGAATTTATTTATCCCTGGTCAGTGGGATTGAGCTCCCTTCCTATTTTCCCAGAACATAGTGGATTGCCGTGTGCAGGCAGATTCAGGTGCTGAAGTGCCTTTGTGCACACAATCTTAATTAAACAGGGATGTGGGAAGGCATGCAGATAAGAGTCAGAGGATCCAGCCTAAACAAGCAGGAAATTCTAGAAATAAAGGTTGCCCAGCCAAGCTTCATTCAGCCCTTATGTGCTGCTTATGCAAAAGCTGGAGAAAAAGTAGCAAAAAAACCCCAAACCAAACAAGTTTCAAGTGTCAGCATCTCCCTGGAACTCCTGAGAAGACTCCTGGAAGTCTTCCTCCCAGATTCTGCACTTCCATTCTTATCCTACCCTTTTCCCATACTATCTGCTCCTCTTTTTTATGCATCTGCTCTTACTCAACTTCTTTTTCTTGCCTTCCTGTCTCAATACCCTCTCAAAAGTTTACAGATATTTAAGACAACAAGGCTCTAAAAATTGATGATTTTCTTAAGGCTCCAGCTGCTGGGTTAGGTACTTGAATGACAAGTTTCTGCATTTTCCCATTTTCATTATGTTTAGGAAAAGAAATTTTTCTGAATGGTTGCACGTGGAAAGGCTGAAAACTTTTACTGAAAAATATCTCTACAGATTTAAAAAGAAGAGCCTCAGGCATATCAAAGATAAATTATTAATTTTTTTAAACCTGACTTGGGATTCTTTAGACTTGGCAACAGTACTCATCTCCCTGGCAATTTTACCAGACCCATTCCTTCTCCTCCTTACCAACTTGGTGCCTGAGGGAAAGGGTGTTTTTTATGTGTTCTTATCTGCAGCCCCTCAGGACTGTCTCCTCGTAGTCCTGCCTTGCTCTGCAGGACAATTTCAGTTTTCTACATTTCCAACCTCCAGATGGTGCATGCTTGGAGAATTAATTAGTCTTTGGGGAATACTGCTATCAAACCCTACCATCCTTTGCCTTACCATGGCAAATTAAGATTTGAGGGGCTGTGTGGTAACAGCAAAGCTCCTCTTTGAGACTCTTCTACAGTTTCATATCAAGAGAATTGAAACTCTATTACTTGTCTATCCTTAAAAACAGCAATATCATGGTTTTGCTGAGGTTTCATACCTATTTTGACCATAATGTCTGTTTGAGATCATTTCAGGTCTCTGGATGAGGCATGGCAGACTCCAAAAAACCTTTACATTTCAGAAAACTCTGAGTATTGGATAACTTGATGTAAAGAATGTCCACTGTGACTGCAATGTATATTAGTTAATGATCTGAAAAGTTTAAGTAATATAATTGAATAGAAATATTTTATAGGAAAAATTAATTTTTAAAAGAAAATCACTACAGAAGTGAGACTCCCATTTTTTAATGCAGAAACTAAAATGATTCTGTAATTAAATTCCATTCAGGGATCCCATTGGTTCAGCAGCAGTCTATATTTTAACCTCATTTTCTAACAGCTCAGTACAGCTAAATTTGCAGAACATCACTATTTATGAAATTGCATTGAAATCACAAAACCAGTCTATACAAAGAAATGAAAACTTTGCAAATTCTTTTACTCTACTAAAGAGTATTTCTGCAAACAAAGATAGGCATAGCTGGAAAATGAATTTATCAAGCCTTGTGCAAGCTGCAAATGCTGATACACTTGTCGACAGCTAACGGCTTCCTTAATCAATTAACAAAAAGTGATGATAAAAGGTTAGTCTCAGGAAAACATTACAGTAAATTGCAAATTATATATGGAGAAGTAAAACCATGCTTAATATGAGAAAATATCCTCCATTTAAGAAGCAGTAGTGGAATTATTTTATTTAATTTTCCACTTTCAATCCATGCAGCCAGTCCTTCCATTTCCAACATGAACACTTAAATGTAATCCACATTATTGATAGCTCAGATTTACTCACTGCTACCTAATAATTATAGAAAGAATTATATATATCAAGTGATATGTTTTTTTAATAAACTTGTATAATTTAATCACCAGGCAAATCATTTTTATGACTTCTCCAAACAGCTGTTTAATTTTTAAGTTTTTATCAAGTTAAAATATAGGAGCATTTATTTTCTACATATAAAAAGTAAGGGAAGATGGAATAGCAGAAGCATTACATATGCCTCAGGAATACAAGTAGGTATCATGTAATTATATTCAACAGAGCATGTGCTACTCCATCTTAAATAAAAGCAGGAACACTGATAGTCTTGGTTTTCCAGTACTGTACCAGATTATACAGACAGATTATTTTAAGACACCAATATAAGGCTCAGAATTAACTATTAGGGATCTAATTTCAGTATTGTGTGGGTTCACTAAGTTTAGGGCTTTGAATTGTTACTTCCCTTCCCTGAAGTTGTCTTTTGGTCTTTCCTGTCCATCTCTCTTCTCTTTAGAAGCAGCTGCCCCACCACATTTCTTCCTCAGCAATCCATCCTATTTCTCCATTATCCATCTTTTCCTAAGAGTAAATTTGGTAATAGACAGGGAAGCAGGTATTGAACCACTCCTGCTGCACATGTTCAGACAATTGGATTGATCTCTTCCAAGCAACAAGTGGAGGCTAGGCAGACATCCATGGGGTACATCGGGTGAGACTCCTTCTTCTGGGAACCTGAGCTCATGTCCTAACAGCAATTTAATTCTGGCCCTGATAAGCTGATATGAACATGCACAACTAAGTCACCAGCTATAAATGTAAAATATCTATGACTTTTGCAAACCAAATGAATAATCTTTTTTGGTCATTTTCTATAGCCAGAGTCTCCAGCAGGCCATGGTTCAAGCAGTGCTTTAGTACCATGGCTGCCTGCAGTCCCTCTGAAATCATCCCCTCCTCCTGCCCGGAGGCAAATGACCAGAGCAAACACATTCCTTAGCAACCAGGCTTTGGATCTTCAGAACAAACACTTCTTTGTCTGATTTGCTTTACCTGTGCATACAGATTTCTTTGAACTAAGCACTAACAGAGCAGCTCCACTTGTTCTATGCACAGCTAAAAGTGCCTCCTGCATGCACAGGTACAATATAATTGCTACAAACTCCCTCCCTAAATTCTTCTGTTTCATTTCCAGGCTGAATTCTGCTTTCTTCCATTATCCCTGACATTCACAGTGACTCCAGTGTTCTCTGAGTTACTGGGGATTTACACATCTGCAAGTGAGGGCAGTGGTTTTCTCCCCCATGGCTCCTCTGCAATGCCTTCACAAGCAAGTAGCTGAGCTCAATATTCAGATTTGAGACTCTCCCATTGAACGAGGAGCTGCTGGGAAAACGGTGCTCAACAGACCCCAAAGAATGTCACTTCCCAATAGCTGAGGATATATTGGAATGGTTATTGATTGTGTTATTAAGCCACACTGGGGTCACGTTACTGAAGGGGTGGCACATGGAGCAATGGGAAACTCTTCACAACCTCTCAGGTCATAGCTATAGTGCTTCATATTTTTATAGGGTAACATATGCTGGCAAGAACTACAGGCTTCAGCTCATCTCCATTATCAGTCTTTGAAACAGGCAGGAAATATTATCTTCCCTAATTTAGAACTAAAGGAACCAAGATGAGGAAGAGTCTACAGCTACAGATGGATGTAAGAGGAGAAAGAGAATTAAAATTTGACATCTCCTGGAGCCAACTTCCCAGCTTCTCCTTCCAGGCTGCATCACCATTTCTGATCACAATGTTACTGTAAAACTTATACACAAACCTGGCTTGAACTACCTCCCATAAGCAGCAGCTTGAAATATGACAGAAAGAGAATAAAAAAGAATGATTTCTCATACTACAAAATTATTTATAAATTTTGATATTTTTATAAACTCCAGTATGTGGCCACTAGAGGATAAAGAAGATGCATGAAATTAAATTAATTACACTTTTAAATAAAGGCAATATTAATAGATTCCATTAATTTTCTATAAAAAGCCTACAGAAATGTTAAATAACATTCTTTTTTTAATAACATTTTGATGCTTTTTTTAGCTGAGTTTATTTAACATTTCTTGATGCTGTGAAAGTCAATTTATGCAGAAACCCCCCTTCCCCCCAGCAGTTAGAGAGATTTAGTTATTCCACCTCCCATTGCAGTGAAGATTTGAATCTTACTTTTTCTGAAAGCATCTTTAAAGAATTCTTCAAGCTGTCTGGAGAACGTTGGCTTGCAGAACTAAGCAGCAGGTCTGCATGGCTTGATATGAGAGGCTGCAGATGATTGATGTTGCTGAGAACTTCTTTTGCCTTGGCTGTGTTTTCAGGTGAATAGTAAATACACTGGTATCCAGTACTGTGATAACAGAGAGTCACATAATGTCAAATTCATTTCTGCCATTAATAGCAATGCTTACCGTGCTAAAAATCTTACCACTACTTTTGCAGAAAAAAAAGAGCCATATGCCTGAACTTTATAGATATCACTGAAATGCTCCTGCCTTTAAGGGTAAAAGCAAATCTTTCCTTGAACAGCAGCATAAAGCAGACTGCCCACCATCACATGCTCCAAGTAGTACAGTACAAAATTCCTTTGAATGACTGAACATAAAACCCCTACATTTTTACGTGTTTCTTTTAAATACTGTAATTCTAGAGAGAGAAAATATTTGAAAAAAATCACATAATAATGCCAAAGAGCATAAGGCTCCTTATTTGTCCAACTGAACTCCCCAACAGAGTATTAACTACCTCACTAAGTCTTTCAAAATGGGCCAATTAATGTTTAATTGATCAGTGGCCCACACTGTGTTTTGATTAGCCTCAGTGATGTCCAGGAACCGATGACAAATAGAGTTATCTCCAATAAAAAACAGGTGCCTGATTTGTAAGAATAGACACAGCAATGTGGTGTGCGAGTTAATTACTTCAAAACCACACAAATGCACACTGTAAACTTCCTACTTTCAACTCTTCAGATTACTGCAATTCTTTTCCAGATTTTCTTCTATCCCTCTTTCCTCTTCTCCCCTTACTAATTATGGAATATCCTCTTGCACCATTGCTCCCAAACACCATTTCAGACAGCATGCACACACCCAGTAACTGTTGCTGTTGTGCACAGATCCTCACCTGAACCTCTTACACATAATTCTTCCTTTTATAAAGCCCTGACTCAGTCTTTAAAAAAAACTAACCAAAGTCTTTTGCAGCTTCAGATTAACACAGGAAAAAAAGAAACCAAGCACTTGCTGGCCCATCATCAATGCCAGAGGAATGTACATACTATTCCCAGTTGGTTCTGTTTGTATCTCCCTTCTCTCATGTCTTTCCATCAGAAGTGCTTCAGTCCCTTCAACCCTTTCACCACTGATTTCTTTGTTAATTTTGCATACCAAGACCCAAATATTGACACTTGTGTAATCCTCTGAACTTCATGCAATGTGCTTCCTTTCAATCTTTTTTCCAGATCTCTTCACTCTCCCACTTCCCCTTTGTGTCTTCTATTGAATGACTTCCAGTTCCTTCTCATTAGTTTTCTACAAACTAGAAATTAAATCTTGATGGGCCCCTTCCAATTCAGAATTTTCTATGATTTTGGCAAATAAGAATAGCTTCAAGCAGTCTTAAAATTAAGGCTCTTGCTTACGTATTTTGCTGAGTTATAGTCCCAAATTCCCCAGTATCCATTCTATTTTTCTGTCTTTCACCAGTGTCTTGATTTCTAGGTGCAATCCTTTGCAGAGGCAGTCAGGATGAATGGCATGTACGTGAGCAAAGCTCAGCCGTGCTACCAGCCACATCTAAATTACAATGCATTTCCTACTTACATCAGCTACCAGACTTATGTCTAGTAGAAGTCATAATTCTGAGTATTTCAGCAAAATGAATCATATAAACTGTCTCTCCTAATGAATAAGGAGAAAAAAAAAATAAAAAAAAATAAAAAAAGAAATCCTTGTGCCTCTGAGTAATGAGGAAACTGCCACAGTTCTACCTTCAAGGTGGTCACACTGTTAATGGGATGGACTTCCAGAGTCAGACCTAGCACCACATTCACTGGAACACTCAAGCTACCAGGCTCAGCAGACAGAGCAGAGACAAAGAGTAATAGTCTACGTTAATTGCAGTGAAGACATAGTCTTAAAAATCTTGATACTTCTCTAATTTCCCACCAGGCTTCTCCCTCCCTTTATCAAACAGTCTTTTTTTGCAGGCAGAATCTGGCTAATGCTGTTATCAAGCTCACCATGCACATACTCCTTTCTGGGATTTCCCTCAGTCTTTAAATCCCAGATAGTTTTCACTGATCACCCACAGCTCTAAGCTTCACTGAATATTGCAGCAGAAAAGCTACAGACACCACTGTAAGAAAGAGGAGAGAGTGACACTAAAGATGTGGGCAGTTCTCATTGCAATAAAATAAATCATAGCTCTTAAGTGAAGGAATTAGTGAAGAGAAAACGACTCTTCAGAATGAAGTGTACTACCAGACTACATTAATTGGCTAATTTAAACATTTCCAGAACCCCAGAAAACATGACACAACTTCAAATATTTTGTTTCTAAGTCGAGGGCAACTTCCTCCACGCCCCTAGGAAAATGTGTAATTATTTTTCAGAAACAACACATTTGGGAGTATTTGAAATTTCTGTTGTCTTCATGCTGTTGCATCTATGACTAGCTGAGGTTTCCTGTGGCCTTACTCCTAATGAAAAGACATTCCTACTTACAAGACAGTGACATTCCCTCATCTACAACTGCTTTTAAAGCTTTCTGCTGCATATAGCTCTGGTATGTGAGCACTATTAGTTAGAAGAGGCAATTGCCAATAGAACTTACAGAGAAACTTTTCACAGGTGTCCTAAGGCACAAACTAGATGAAACTTTTGCATTAAAGGTCCACATGGGTAGGTCCAGTGCAGAATATCAGCAGCATAATGAAAACCTATCTGTGATATGCAAATTATAACTCACATATCTTCTGAAAAACTCTATAATAATGCCTTCTGGGTTAAGTTCCAAAGCTTTCACTAAGCATATAAAACCACATTTGATCATTTCCATATATTGGCACCATCATTAACTATGAACACATGACTGTCAGCAGTCGTTTCAGTATTAAAATTGCTTTAAGGACGTTCTTGTGCAATTGGATGTTTTGGGGATGGTTTATATCTCACATCCATTTCTGGTTTTGTTTTTGTTTTGTGTCCAGAATAGTCCCCTGGCTCTGGGAGTATCACGAAGGGTGAGGGACAGCTCAGGATCCTGCAAGGCTTGGGGACCAGGGGCCCGTTGCCCTAAAGTTTTTGACTGTTTCTTTCTTTTTCCTTTGGCACCACGACTGGGGCTTGCCAGCTTGCTTTTCTGCTCCTGTGCTGGCTTGGGAGCCCAGGGTCGGTGTGTGCTGCACCAGGAGCCAGAGCCCTCCCGGCCAGGCCATTCCCTCTGCATGCTGGCACAACCCCAGGAGCAGCCATTGCTGGTGAGCTATCCAAGGGAGCCATCCCCTGCCCAGCCCTGCTGTTTTCTGCCACTGCTTTGGGATTTTTGCTACACTTCAAACTGACATCCCATGTCTGCTTGACCCCCGTGGCTCCTGGCACGGCTTTGGGGTTTCTTCTACACTTTGTTTGTCATTTCTCTGCTAGGGGCACTGACCAGCTCCTTCCCATGGCTGTGCCCAGCAAAGCCCTTCTCTCCTGGGGACACTGACACCAGCTCCTTCTCATGGCTGTGCCCAGCAAAGCCCCTTCTCTCCTTTCTCCTCCCACCCCTGCAGCTGCCATGGCCGTGTAGGGGAGAGGCGGCCAAGCCTGCGCCACAGCGCCCCCTGCTGGAGTGGAGGAGCCATCCCTGCCCTGCCCAGCCAGGAGCCAGCAGCGCCCCCTGCTGGAGTGGAGGAATCATCCCTGCCCTGCCCAGCCAGGAGCCAGCAGCGCCCCCTGCTGGAGTGGAGGAATCATCCCTGCCCAGCCGGGAGCCAGCAGCGCCCCGTGCCGGCTGTGCCCGGAACTGCACCAAGGGGAAAGTGCCCATGGCCAAGAGAAGGAGCAGGTGGGTTCTGGTTCGGTTCTGTTATTCCTTTCCCCATATCTGTGCCTTCAAGTCCTGCAATTTCAAAGTTAAAATAATTTGGAGGATAGGGAATCATATTTTCCATTCCAAGGGAGGTTCCTGCCTTCCTTAGCACACACCTCTCTCTCAAACCAAGACATTTGAATAAATACTAAATTGGCTACATTTTAAATTCTAGATTATCAAAGTTTTTGCCTGAGTCTAAATAATGCAGTATGGTAAATTTCTAATTTATAATGAACTTCTGAGTTACTCCACTCCTGCTGTTAAATGCATCATTTGTGTCACTTAGTTAAATTGTTGCCATCTGGGACTGGCTTAAAATCTTCCAACAATGAACATTTGACCTCCCATTTTTCACAACCAAAACCCACAGACATTAGCATCAGGAATACAGTTAAAGCACAATCAGCAAGTGCATCTACCCCTAGATAACTTGAATTTTATGCACATTACTGAAGATACCAATTCAGTGGCTTACTTATGGATCACATGTATTCTGTCTAAAGTGGGAACTTATGATCAAAAATAAATTGTTACATTAAAAACTCTGGATAATTCATGGTCTCAGGAAGTAAAACTAAACCAGATGATCAGAGCTGAGGTTATGAAAACAGGCTTGAAAGAAACTAAAAATTTGAATTACTTCATTTATTTCCTTAAGATTCCCTCGACACCTTGGAAATTCTAACTTTGAATATGAGGAAAAATGAATGATGCTATTAGTTCTATGATGATCAAACATCCACAAATCCTTGAGGCAAATGGCTAAGGCTGTATGCACAGAACATTTCCTGATGTTCCTCTATTTTTCCTCATTCCTAACTCCATGAAGTCCAATCTCTCTTTCTCACACAAATGTATACATGCAAAAAGTAGGGTAAAGTGAGTGAAGAATAACATGAAAAGTGTTAAGCATGACAAGTATTTCATTTGAGAATAAAGGTTACAATTAGATCCAACACAGATCTAAATTATTTCAACATCTCTGTGACTTTCTATGAAATTGTACCATTTCTGATTCCTCAGAGAATGGAAATGGGTTGAAGGCTTCAAAATTCAGGCAATAGGAAGACAGAATATTGCAACATTAATAAAATCTCAAGTCACCAAACAGATATGCTACTGAAGGAGCACACTTCATATCTCCACTAAAAAAATCTAGGCCTCAAACAGAAATAGTCCTTTTAGACTGTTCCAATCCAAAATAAATTATTATAGTTTAGATGGGAAAAAAGCCTAACAGAAAATCCTTTTCAGTAATGTTCCAGTTTTAACGTTTTGTGAATTTAAAACAGGGTTATTTCCAAAGAGCAGCATGTTAGAAATCATGTATAAAACCCACAATTAATCACAGCACCTAATGCAGCTTGTGGGACACCTCTTTTTCTTGATGGTTAGAGCTGGGACATTAAAAAATTTGCAATCATAAGTCAATGTGTTTTGGTTAAAACAGAGATGATTAAATTAGATTTTAAATAAGGGGGGAAAAAAGTCCTTTGTGTATCTTGAAAGTGATTTATGAACACTTCAAGCAGTGAGGCATTATATGTGTATAACTTCGACAATGTCTGATTTAAATGTTTCTGCACAACTGAGCTCTGAAAACAATCATTTGCTGTGCCATCTAGACTGATGAGAAGACAAGCCCTTCCATTTGCTGGAAGGAGAAATAATCTATACTATCAAGCCAGAAAAGACTGTATCTGAACAACTGACTGACTTTCTCTTTTATGCAGAAAAAGAAAAGGAGAAAATGAAAAGAACATACCAATACATAATAATGAAAATTATTCTAAAATAAATGTATATCATACACAAGTAATTAATATTCTGCAATTATTTGCCATACTTTAATCATCATATTTCAGTCATTTTAATGTAAATGCTATCATGTTTAAACAAAATTTTTTTAAAGCATCAATTTTTCTTACTTGTCCAATGAAATTCACTACTTGCTACTAAAAGGACAGACATACCAGAGCCATGCCTCATAGACTTGACTGATGTTTATAGTGGAAGGGCCTTTGATCTGTCTTTTTGGTACAGATGAAGAATGCTATGTGAATGGGTTATAAAGCAATGGAACAGGCTTCAGATCACATATCAGAAAGTTCTATATTTCTCACTGAAAAGAGAAGCCTGCCTTGCTTTTATTTCCAGACCTTTTTTTTCAATATGTCTTGAAAAAAGCAATTTTTTAAAGAAATTGAATATGACTTTCCTGATGGTAATAAATGAGAGATGAATTGCAAAAACACTGCATTTTTTGTAAATATTATTATACAGGGCTTTCCCTTTTTGTCTGCACAAAGATGAATATTCTCTGTAGCAGAAAACATGCCAGAATGATCTTGAGATACACATTTTCCACATTCTTCTGTTTGATAAACTTGATAAACTTTCACAAAACATATGTCTCAGTCTTGTTTTAGTTTGGGAACTGCAAATGATACCAGATAGCAGTTCCTCTTGTCTGTTAATTCCACAAGTCTAAGCTTGAGCAAGAAATATTTTGCAATATGCTGACACCGTTGAATATTTTGATAAACTGTTCTAATGATCAGACTGAAGGTCAAAGACATGCAAGGCATTCTGTCACAACCTGAAAGCTACCAGGGTTGCCTGAGAACTAATCTCTTCCCACATCTTGCTCTAAGTCTTCAGCTCAGTTAGCCAAGAGGAAATGGCTGCTGAATCTGCCTTTTTTTCTGTTCATTCTATAGTCTGACTGATTTCTCAAGGTGTCACTTCTTCCTTCAACAAAATCTTCAGAAAATCTGCCCCCGTTGTAAAACAGAAAATTTAAATTGCAAAAGGTGCCCCTGGGGACGCTATGTGTCCTCAAAGCATCTTTATGCAGCCAAATAAACAGGTGCATGCAAAATAACACTGCTGTCACCACAGCAAAATAAATTTCTCCATTATAAGATTGGGAATGGTCCTTTCAAGTATTTATGTAAAGCAGACCCCCTCCTGAATATTCATTAAATGAGATTGTGTTGAGAGCTTGCTTACCCCTGTCTTCCAACTCACACAAGTACTTGAAGTTGAAAAATCAAAATGGAGTTTTCTCTGAACAGCACAAAAGATGAATTTTGGAGGCTTCCTCCTTTCTGCTTTGTGGGAATTCACACACAAGTGACCATTTCCCCATCTCTGGCGAGTGATTAGCTGAAAACTGCAGTGCACTGTTTTCAGTGCTCTAACTTAAGTTGGCTAGCCTGACTCAGGCTCTATTTTTAGGAAGAGTCTGACAGGATAGTAACATAGCTACTCTAGTTATATCATCCTGAAGACAGACCTTTGCTTTTCCAGGAGAACCCAGAAACACAAAGAAAACTGTCAGAGTAAACTTCTTGTACCGTGTCCTCAAAAATTGCCAAAACACAGGTGTTTCTGAGGGATGCAGGAAAATCTAAGCAGCAGGGCAAATGTAAGGTGACGTGCAGGTTCTTGAAATAGGTCTGAAATGCCTTGACAGAACATGCACAAAGCTCTCAACCAACATCTCCTCTCCCCTATTACCAGCACCTAAGAAACATGGGCACTGTCTAGTGATGCCCATGAGATACTGCAATGTGTGTTCTTCCAGGAATACTTTCTCTTCCCTATAAGGCATCTTTTCTCCAATAAAGAGAAGTCACAGAGGATAATTTATCTCACAGCTATCCTCCATTTTGGGAGGTTGCACTCTGCCAGCATGGATATGCTGCAGGACTGAGCTAGTGAGAAATGCTTCATTTTCTGAAAGCTGAGCACTGTGAGAACTGTAATGTTCTTTATATCATATGACTTTAAAGGATTATGTCTATTGTATGATTTATATCTTGTGGCTCCAGTAATAAATTATTATGATAAAAACCCACAAACCACTATTGCAACCACATTAATTAGGTAGTAAAGGAGCAGATACTTTAAGAAATGTCTTTAGACATTTTCTTCAGCAGAAAACATGTACTTTGTAGGCCTCCATATGATGGGGATAAGGCTGCCCATACCAGTTTGCTGACAGCAGAATATTAACACAAAGTTCATTGATGTGTCTTACATGATCAATGATGTACAGGTTTCACTGGCAGATTTCAGCATCAGAGGTGGTCAGGGAAATGAAAGATTTTTGAAGATTTAAAAGAATTTTTATATTGTATAGGGCAAGCAAGACCCCCTCAATAATACAGCTTTCAAAGCAACTAGATCTGCTGGGTTTTGTTTGGTTTTAATATTGATGCCAAGTCCCATTCAACCTAGAAGTCAACAGCAGATTTGTATAATTTCCCTTTTATTCTTTAAGATATTGTATCCATGAAAGTTTTCTGAGCATTTAATAGAATGGAATAGATTTTCTCTGCACTGTCATGATAATTTAGATCAGAGTACTTCCTTCCTGCATTCTCTTTGGAGGGCTGCAACACCTCAGTCAGCACCATCAGTTGAAGCACTGACTAGTCATAACTACGAGTGCTGCCAGTGACAGCTGTGCCTGCTCGAAAATCTTAACAGCCATAGCAACAAACACAAATACATCCAGTTCTTAGTTAGGAAAAGATGTAACTAACACTACTGTGCATGTTCAACAGTGAACAAAGCATTTGACTTCCACAATAAACCGAAACCTTTATTTTTGATTAGTCTTACTTTGGCTTTCTGAAGAATCAGAGTAACTTGTTGTTTCAAGTGTATTAAAAATACATTTTCTTTCTTAGCATACACCCAGGGCTGTCAAAAATAAAGTTGCTACTCTAAGCTACAATTTCTGTATTTAAAAATTATCTACAGATACATTCCTCTTAGCACAAGAATTGCCAAAGAGATGTCTCATTCTTAATAGGTTTTCAAGCACTAAAATACCTCCAGTTTCTTGAAATAGAAGGGGAAAAAAAAAAATCACAATTTTGAATCATTAAGGTTGCAAAAGACTCCAAGATCACCGAGTCCAACCTTTGACAGAACAACCACCATATCAACTAAACCATAGCACCGAGTGCCAAGTCTTGTCTTTTCTTGAACACTTCCAGGGACGATGACTTCACCATTTCCCTGGGAAGCCTGCTCCAATGCACAACAACCCTTTCCATGAAGAAATCCTTCCTGATGCCCAACCTGAACATCCCCTGGCACAGCTTGAGGCCATTTCCTGTGTTTACTCAGAATTAGTCTTAACATTAAAAGTAGACCATGCTTCAATTTTCAGCAAAGCAGGAAAATAAAAGAAATATTTTATGATAGCAATGTCCAATCTTACTAGATTTTAATCTTCCCTTCATTCAGCAGGATAAACTCTTTGGTTCCTCAATGAGCTCACAGCATTTTAATGCAACCTTAATGGTACTTTCTCAGCTACCAGAAAGAAAGAATACTTACTTTCGTCTTTCTGCCTCAAATTTACTCAGCAGTTTCCGTAGACCACCATTCTTAAATCCTTGGAAATGCGCTGCCGGGGCTCCCACGGTGATAACATCATACAGAGCATCTGGAATGGGAATGGAGAAACACAGCCATTTGAATGCTCCTACTCCCAAGTCATGGCAACACTGTGACATCCAATCCACACAAAGTAAGGACAAGTCTATATCGTTTCCAGGGAATAATTAATAATCCATGTCCCAAGAAGGCCCAAGAGCTAATCAATCTTTCCATACAGCCACCTGCACACTTTAAAAATTTCATCTGATTTATGGCTACATCTAAATTATGTGCTGCAGTGTAGAACAATATTCCAGCTCTGCAGTTTACAAAGCTGCCAAGTAAATTGGCCCATTGTGTATTTCACTTTATTGCCCCTTTCATTATTTAACTTGTAGTCATGTCGAGATGCACAAATTCAAGCGTTTTAGAGTCAAAAGAGACCATTATGATGGAATAGTCTGACTGAATAATAGAGGCTACAGAATTACAGTTAATGATTTCTGCATCAAGCTTATGTCTCTTGGCTGAGTGAAGGCATCTCTTTGTTTAGGCATCCAATCTTGATTTAAAGATTGCAAGTGACAATGAACTCACTGCATTCCCAGAGAAGTCAATCAGACTAGTAAAAATCCCTACTTCTTTTCTAGCTTCAATTTGTTTAGATGTAATGCTAATGTACTTTCATATATAATGGTGTTTAATGGTAAATTGGAGAGCCCTGCTCTATGACATACTTTTTATATATGTTTATGAACTCAGACAAAATCTGTTGTTCTCAGCTCAGAGGCTACCAGAATAGGCAAAAACCATAATACTGAAATTCTTGCTGAGTAAACAAACTGTTGTCTCTGTCTGTATATACTTAATGTCTTATTACATAGGGGAAGAACTTTTTGTGTGGACATGTGCTTACAGAACTGGAGGTGAAACATCATTTTTAAACAAGCTTGTGACTGATTGTCAATATAGAGATGAAGCTTTAATTACATCCCACACCACAGTCATTATTTCTTCAAAGTTTAAATTTACATTTACACTAAGTACCTGTTTTGTACCTGAACTTACTGGAGGTATAAAAATACAGTTTAGAATGCCTTATTCTTAAGATGTATTTCTAAAGGGAACATTGCAGGATGTTTTTTGAGAACTGTTCTATTCATCAAGGAAGTTTCCCATGTAAATTAAAATCTAGTCCTCCCCTAAAATAGAACTTTTATTGCATTCTGATGATAAATATCCCTAGAAGCAAGAACACTGTACAAATGATTCACAGTTAATGAACTATGCTTTACTTCCCAAGCTGAATCTCAGAACATATTTGCTCAAATTGATTTGAGCTCTAATGAGTTGGTGACTCTTCAATATCCACTTAAAAGGAGAAGTGACATAATTTCATTAGCCTAAGGTGAGCTTCAAGATTCTTAAATAGCCCATTCTTTCAGGTCTTAATACAGATTTATCCATAATACATATTCTTCGGCTATTAGAGCTCCATTGGTACTTGACAATAAGGAGTTCTATTGCTTAAAATCAAGATAAGAGATGAACTCATCAGGGTTCTGAATATGTTTAGAAAGATAACTCATGAAACGACAGGAAAACATTTAAAAGACTAAACGCTAGTTCCGACTTTTAAAAATAGACACGGCCCTGTTTAGAGTTACTTTGGAAGGGGGGGGATTTATCCAGAAGGAAGCCTTTTTTCAGCCTGTGGTCTCTCCTCAGCATGGTCGAGGAGCAGCTGTGTGAGGCAGAAACGCACCGAGCACAGCTGAGCACCTGCCTCACACAACCTCCATGGACCTCCATGGGAGAGTGAGGATGGCAAAGGATGAGGAGCAAACATCCACGCCTGGCGATGGGCACAGGGCAATCTCACTCCACTTCCCGGAGCACAGGGCAGCAGAGAGGGCTGCAAGGCTTGGGAGGAATGCCTTGTGACGTGCTCTACTTACACATCAGTGGAGCTCCTTGGGAAGGACGTGCAGTGTCAGCATCAGTGCACTGCCACAGGAGTGCTCCAGTAACTCTCAACCATCAGGGAAGAGCAGGCTGCTGCTGACACCCCTCTGCAGCGAAGGCAGAGCTTAAAATGCAGCAGAGCTCCACAGGAGCTGTACCTTATTGTCAAGAACAGCTCAATCCCAATTTTGAGTCAACCTGCCTGCCTCCACAGGAGGCAGCCAGTGTCTCAAACTGGCCGGATGCAAAACAAAGATCACTTCAGTTCACCAGATCTATTTAAAACAAGCACATATTGCAAACAGGAACAAAAGCAAAGCTATGTCAATATATAGATTTAAGCTCTCTAGTATGATGAACAGAGCACAGTGTGGTGTTTATCAAATGGATAGGGATGCCATTGACCCATAGGGAAATAGCATTTTTCTCAAAGCTATTCCTACTGAAAGTTTAAGCACACTTTCTCTGCCATATCAGTACCCAATAACAACCCAAATCAAAGTTCAGGAAAAGTAAACCTGTTGTCATACATGTCAAACACAATATCTATATAAACACAATATCTATATAAAATAGATGGGATTAAAACCTGTTCTCCATTCCCAAAATTAAGATATTCAATAGTGTAAGGGTTAATGACAACTCTGTGGATCATTAGCTTGTTTAAATGCCACCTCTATGAATTTTTATTCTCCCCCCTCCACTGCCATTTTCCTGGTTATATTCCAGGTGTCCTCTGATATATGCCAAGCAAAGCATGAGCTGAGAAAGAACAACTTAATATCTAAGTGCTGCCTACTCCAGATTGATTAGCAATTGGTAGAAACTGTTCAGACTGTATCTATCTAATACAAGACACAGTGAACGTTCGTTAAGTAATAGAGGCAGAGTTTTATAATTTCAAGATCCAAATTTAGAAAACAACTCGAACAATTCTAACATTTATCTCTTTCTGTACCCTTTTTGATTATGGATTAACCATGCGCCCCAAGCAAAATGGTTTTGGAGAAGGGGGAAAATTCATAAAAAACCAAAACAAAACTCCAGTGCTGTAAAAGCTGTGGGTGCTTAAGTAAGTCACATATTTCATTCCACTTTTTCTTTAGCAAAATAGATATAGAGTGTCCTGTTCACAAAGAGGTTTTTCTTGAAAAGACATAATATTAAGCTTCTGACCACCATTACAAACCTAAAAATGCTTTTGAGTTAACTAATTAACTTCAAAACATTAAATTAAAATCTCTGCTGTCACATTATGTCACTATAAATCCCCATCTTGTTGAAATGTTTGGAGGCACAGTTTTTTAGTAAAAGAAATTACAAAATATTGAACCAACCAGTACCTAACAGATAATTGGAAGTCCCTGTGTTCCAGTTTGGAAGTGAATGAACATCAGCCTCACACAGTGTAAAACAGGAGTTTTAGCACTGTTTGTACTTACTGTTTTACAATCTTAGATTCAGAGTGTCTTAATAAGGCAAAAACTTTACAGAACATAATTTCTGTGTTTGTAGTGACAGCAAATTTAACAGATCTCAATTTATCAACAAATTATTCACTGTGCCATGATTTGGTCATATATATGTATCAGTAGAATCTTTGATCTGTAAAGGAAGCTGCTAAAATCATATGCAAGCAGCCACAACACAATTCTGTGTTAAAAAGAACCACAGATGATACAGAAAGTTGTTCCCCTTTCCAGGAGATCTTGGAAGTTTGCAGTATTTTTAACATAATCAGTGAGGTATTTGCACTTAACACTGAGAAAATGCTTGCATGGGGTAGGTGGGCATGACAGTGTAGCACTGCATAAGCTGATTTAGAACCAATCAGTTCTGGGCTCATTATAACTTCCTCAGAAATAGGATGAATTAAATTTAGAAGTAATACTGTCCTCTATGGAACCATGCATCTCCCATCACCTGAGCTGGTGAGCTCATCCCAGCAATCTCTGGGAGGAAAAGTATTGTATTGTGCTTTATCACTATCTCTGCTGCCAAACTGGTGGGGGAGTGGGAAAAAAAGCCACCTTAAAAGAAGAGTATTAAGTCTGGTTATTACAGGATTATGGATCACAATGAAAAATTAAGTGGTTGCCTGAGAAGGATGTGAATCTTACTGAGCATTGTGCAGTGTGTCACTACCAATCATGACAGTATTAGTTCTGCACTGCTACAACACAATATCTTTAACCTTGCATAGGTTACCAATATATTTCAGTGAGCATATATTCTGCATTTACTTATTTGCTTGAAGTGTCATAGGAACAAAATGAGCAGGTCTCTTCAATGTATTTTTAGAAAGGAACTTAAAAGAAATTTAGTTAACCACCCCTTAGCTTTCCAAGATCTTCAGTAAGATCTGTGGCATCAGAAGATAAGGCAGAGAAATTCCTTGCACAGCTTTAGCTCTGGACTCGATTTCTAAATTTCAGTGTAACTGTATTTCAAAGCATTGTCATACTTGGGGAATTCCTTTACCTTTCAATCGAGGACTATGCACATGCATTCTTTGCAGATGAAGATTTATTGGGATGAATTCTAGTGTTTTTTCTCCTTTGCTACAGCTTGACTTAAAGGAAGAACCTGAAAAACAAAAGTTTAAAGAATCATTGTCTTAAGCACCCAGATGTTTTTGTATTCCTTTCAAAGTGAGGACGATACTTGTATGTCAGGAGTCATCTTTAATTGAATTTTACTGTGTAATTGTAGGTTACAAGATGAAAGAGTCACAAACTGAGTCTCAGCATGTATCCATATGGGGAGCAACAAAACAGCTTTTAATTCACAGAACGATCCAATTTTTTATTCTAAGAGATAGATACCTTTCCCTGCTGTCTGAAAACAGTCTGCAGCCTGCTGGAGAAAATGTAGTAGTTAATGTTCATTATGTTTATTCTGTGCTAAAACCACAAGGATACAGAGCTATGATGGCACTGCATTTTTCCAAGTAATGTTTTTGTCTTCAAATAAAAGTGTTATATTGAATAGGCTATGCATTCTTCCTAGAAAGCTCAAATAAAGAAACACAAACTATCTTAAGGAAAGCTTTATATTAGTTCACAGGAGGCATGATACCTTGGAAAAACAAACAAAAAAAAAGATTAATGCGGCTGCACATTTCATAAGTATGACATTATGAGTAGTTTCATGGAGTGTAAAGGAATATAATTAAAGTGTGACAGTACGAAAACATAATTTTCCTGGACATATTTGATACAGAATCTGTATAAAATAAAAGGGTATAATTAGGAACGAGAGGTGGTCTTGTCTTCTAACTCAGACAGCCCAACATTTACCTAAGTCACTTTGTCAACACCCTATCATTTTGCCAACTATTAATTATTAAAACTAAAATCCCTCTAAATCAGATAGAATTTTAAAATAAACTTTGTCAAGGTTCAGCCTTTTTTTGAAATAAACACACAAAAAGGTAAAGGAAATATTTTAAATTGTTTTTTGCTTGCTCAGTCAAGACTTGCTCATGTTTATCTGTTGAAGCTGCCATAATTTCCAGCAGGACTAAGCACTGAGCCTGCCAACATAAACCACTCTGCCAGTGGGCACCAATGATGCTCCAGACCAGCCAAGCCTGCTTAGGCTGCTCCCTAAGCTTTGGAACTTAAAATAATAATTTAACACATGTGAAGAGCAAAGCTAGTAAGAAAAGCAATTTACAGGAGTCAAAATTTCAGATTAGACAGGAAACCCAAGGATGCAGATTGAAATCAGCAGCTTTTGATGATGCAATGTGAAACCTGCATCTGAAAAACACAGGCAATTAGGGGAGTAGCCAGGGCAAGTCAAATTATCAGAAAAGAAATGAGAATACTGCAGGGAAGGAGTCTGTAAGTAATTTGGAAAGAGAACAGAAAGGAGGCACATTATTTCTGAGAATTCAACTGAGACCAAGTTCAAAGCTTAGGGAATGATAACTGGACCTGAGACAAGGAAATACTGGCTGAGCAAGGGAAGCACAAGATGACAGCAGATGGAAAGGACAGGTGAAAAAAAGAATAGGAGGGAGAAGAGCCTGCTCTCAGGAGTAAACTTCTGCCCCAAGCAGGAGCACAAGACCTGCAGCATTGCTGAGTTGTGTTTTTCCTTTTTTCAGGGGAGATCTGTGAAGCAAGTATCCTTTCCCACCCAGTGCCAGAAAATTTCTGGATAAGGACCACTCAGCTGCTCTCAGTTACTAGATTTGCTCAGGTATTAAATCCATGCAGTGGAATTAACTTATCAATCTGCATTTACCAATATCATCCATGCCATTCAACTAAGTATAGTCTGTTTTTAAGCAACTTGGTAAGTTTTAAAAATTAAATTCCCTCAATTAAAATAGTTCTTGTTATAATTGTTGCAAGATCAAATTCTTCAAAGTTAGGAAATACCAGACTATAGATGCAACTTTCATCTGACATCCACCTGTGAAATGGGCTTCAATAATGTATCACATATCAGCTTTCACCAGTTCATTGAATGTTCAGTGTCTTTGCTGCTCATTTTAGAAGCAGTGATTCACTATCTTGTTTCCAATGTTTATTTCAGTATTTATCCAGGATTTAAACATGTTGCTCAAACCTCCCTCAAAGTCAAGGTTTTTAATTTCCTCAAACCTGTCTACTACATACATGCTAACAGCCTCTAAGGGCTTTACAAATTTTTGTAAAATAATTTTAACAGGCTGAGTTGTAATTTCACCCATCCTAATGTCAGAGAATAAACATTTAAGAAACAATGCATCAATATAAGATATGGAAGAACTTGTCCAGCAAAACACTCATTATAATGCAACATCACATTCCATTTTGGAAGCACAGCTCCCACTGGGCTGAATTGCATCCATAAGTACCAAGCACTTCTGCAAAACAACTTGTGTCTAGTGCCAGGCTTCCAAAAAACAGGACAACACACTGACCACTTCTCAAGTCTGACTTGTCTACATAGGAACTTTGTGACAGAGGCAGGGATAGTATTCAGTTTTAGAGAACAATATTCAATTCCCTAAGCCTTGGCTTTTTTCCTCCTTCTAGGGCTGGATGAATAATAGACTTTTCAGTCTGATGACTGAAACAAAAACAAAAGAGTAAATTGAGGGGTAAGGAAAATCATTTGGGGATGATTTCAGGTCAAACTGAAGCAAACAAATAATTTTTAAAGCTCCACTCCCTCCCAATATCACCAGATCTGTGGTTTAGACTCACCTGAAATGATGGGGTTTTTGTTACCTAACCCTTATATCTCCCTGGTATGTTTCCTTACAATAAGAATGCTTTAAATTCTCTAAAATTCTCACATTACTGAGGATAAAAGTGTTTGTCAAAACAACTCAAATTTGAAATAGTCTTAACTTTCTTAAACCTTCATTTTCAATAAATATGCTGCTAAACCAAAATTGCTATCTAACACCAATGTGGTCTCCTGACACTTCCACAGCAATCTCTAGATTTCAAAAAGAAATTAAGTGGCCTCCTAACAGCCTTTTCCATTAAATTCCACAGTTTGGTTGAGTTGAAGTGGGCATCACTCAGGAAGTGCAAGGTGAGATTGTGTTGGGGGAGCATGAGAACACTTTGGAGAAATTTTATTTGCACATGCTGTCTGCCCTTCTGAATACTTCAACCCAAACTCAGGCTATATTCTAAGATGAAGAAAGACACCTGTGCTAGTTAAACTGAAAAGAAACATGTTTTTTTGGCAGACCTTGGCATATGTTGACCTGAATACTCTGAATTAAAATTATGTTCACATCCCTAATCTTAGCAATTTCTACTTCATAAATACTTGAATTTCAAGTATCTACAACGTGCTCCCAACATTACTCTTTGTGCAACTACAGCATTAAGTCAAATGTCTGGCTTGCTTTTCTCATCAAAGGCAATGATCTCGTTTTTTGAAGTTATAAAGTGTATTGTTTATAGAGAAGAAATGGACAGATTTACACCTCGTCATTATTTCTCATTTTTGCTACAATTTTTAGGTTGCTTTGTTTTCTGATAAATGTCCCAGCTCTTTTATATGTGCTGGTTCAGTTTCCCACGTCCACTTTATTTCTCTCAAGACTCAATTAAGATAGGTCCTTTAACATTATAAGCTCTTTTAGAAAGTCACTTTGCATAATACAGGTGTTGCAAGGTTTATATTTAATAGATTCTATTGTCTATTTTTTTTAATCTCAAAATGTCCTTTCAATATTTTCCTGCAAGTTATAATTATTACATTGGTTTCTCCATTATCTGTATTTATTGGCTTGCTTATGACACTTTATGGAGTGCTGTTGAGATGTAATTAGCCAAAGATTGAAAATACATATATATATATGATTTAAAACAGAATCCCAGGAAGTGTCATACTGGATTAGACAGTAGTCTGCCAAAATTGGAACTGGAATATTCTGATGATAGTAAACAATTGTAAATACAAGAAATTACACTTTTGCAAACAATATGGAAATTATTGTACAACATTTAGTGCAACACATTACCTTTTTTTTTTCCCCAACAAATATTTAAGCCATTGAACAAACTCCCAAAAAGTGTACTTTTAGTTAGAGACTGTTTTTTCTTCATACACTAAAAAAGGATTTCTCTTTTTCTGTGACCAAGAACACTATCCTAGAGCAATCTGGTAAGAGAAATATCATGCTCAGTCGTATATTAGGAGATAATAGCTAAAGGATAGAAGTACAGTTTTAATGGGAGGCAAAGATGTGTCTCACCTAGTAAGTGCAACAGATTCATTATACTGAAAGCAAATGCATCCAATTATCTATAAGAAGAAATTATTCTTATTTATGTTAGTTGTATTGTTCCATTTCTCTGTACACAAAGTTTTGGTTGGAATATGTAGAAAGCTAGAAGTCATGAAGAAAATACTGCAAATACTTCATAAATATTTGCCAGTTTTTTTCCCAAGATGTTAGCATCACTTTTACCTCTATTTTCATAAATATTCATAACATACCTTTCTCTCAGAAATATTCTAGTGTTAATCTCTGACATGTGCTGCTATGTCTATATATACAAAATTGTGGGAGCAAGGCCAGAGTGGGAACATCTAATGGTGAAAGTATAGAGTAAAACAGCATTTGCAAGCAATAATGACAGCATGATCATTGAAAACATCTCTGAGATGATGATTGAGAGGACTGGATTAGAAATCTGCCACCAGCAAGCAAGCAGCAACAATGTCAAAGCCTTTGCTGTAATTCAGAGCACACCTGCCCATTTCCTTATGGAGTATCTCAAACTGGGCAGGGAGAGGCAGAAAGGCCTGCTGTAAACAGAAAACTGATCAAAATACAATGTGATTCAAGAAATTATTCTGGTAGTCTTGTAAAACAGAGAAGAATTATCTAAGTTCCTTGAAAGATTTGTGAACAATCAAAAAAAAAAAAATAGAAGGAAGAAATCATTTGTTCTGCTGACTTTTCATCATCTTTTTCTGAATAAGAAATTCTACAGGAGGAAAATATCAGCTGTCTTTTCTGCACATTAGTCACTGATGCTATCTTATTCCACTGGCATGTGGACACTACAGTACCATACAGACCCTGACCACAGGATGCTGTTGGATGTTGAGGGAACAAGCTCTCAGTGCATATCAGAATCCAAGACCACCACCTCCACATGAAAGACAGCAAGGCAGCACTTACTGCTCTGTCTAGACTGAGCATATATTTGCACTGCCCGCCCCATATTGATTCTCTGCTTTCCTGGCAGAATATGGACAAAGAAAACACTACATGGAGGACACGCATGGAAATCCCAAGAGGTTTAGCAAGACCAAGTGCAAGGTGCTGCACCTGGGCTGGGGCAGCCTCTGATATCAACAAAGGATTGGGACAAGCAGATGGAGAGCAGCCCTGCCCAGAAGGACTTGGGGGTGCTGGTGGAGGAGAGGCTGGGCACAATCCAGCCATGGGCACTAACAGCCCAGAGAGCCAAATTCCTGTCTGGAATTCAATTTCCCATATCCTGAGCTCTTCCAGAGCACCGTGGGCAGCAGGGGAGGGAGGGGATTCTGCCCCTCTGCTCTGCTCTGGTGAGAGCCCACCTGGAGTGCTGCAGCAGCTCTGGGGTTCCAGCACAGGGAGGACTTGGACCTGTTGGAGTGAGTCCAGAGGAGACCACAGAGATGCTTAGAGGGATAGAGCATCTCTCCTATGAAGAAAGGGTGAGAGAATTAGAATAGTTTAACCTGGAAAAGGTGAGGCTGACTTAATTGCAATCTTTCAGTACATAGAGGGAGCTTACAAGAAAGCTGGAGAGAGATTATTTACAAGACCATGTAAACAGGACAAGGGGGAATAGATTCAAACTGAAAGTGGGGAGATTTGGATCAGACATTAGGAAGAAATTCTTTAATGTGAGGGGGGTGAGGCACTGGAACAGGTTGCCCAGAGAAGCTGTGGATAACCCATTGCTGGAAGCATTCAAGGCCAGGGTGGATGGGAGTTTGAGCCACCTGGTCTAGAAGGTGTCCCTGCCTGTGGAAGGTGGGTTGGAACTTGATAATCTTTAAGGTCCCTTCCAATCCAAACTATCTTATGATAGTAAGATTTTTATGTGTTTTATTCCTGCTGAATACACCAGTATTTCATAGCTAACAATCTAGTAAATTCTTAAAAGTTCCAGAAAGGAGGCTACTTCCATAAAACCACAGATTCCTACCTGTATGCTTCCCAAGCTCTGCAAGAGTGTCCTGGTACATGCTCAACATCTGATCACAGTGAGCAATTACACTTTTGCGCATGTTGTCCCAGTGAGGAGCGAGTTCTCCCAGGTCTTTAAGTTCCTGATTCCTGTACCAAAAGGCAAAAAGAGAAGGCACTAATTAATTCCTTGATCCATTAGGATTCATAAAAATTAATCTAAAACAAGTTTGTTACAAAACATCAGGAAGATTTCCTAACTGAAAGAAAATCTGTTTTCAGAATGTTTGCAAGGTCTGCTTTTCATCTCTGTTTTACAAGTGCACGATAAAGAATGTCAGTAGATAACGCAGCAATGTCTGTGTTCAAAACTCATCTGGTATAAATGCAATAGCCTTCAAACTGAAATACTATTTCTTCCACGAAGGAAAGAAGGCTTCCAGGCTCCAGAGAGCTGTGCTGAGAGCAAGTGAATTTTTGTGAAGAGGTATTAAACACCATTGGAAAGAACACAAAGTTTGCTTTTCCCCTCAAAACTTTCAGTTATAGCTGTTTTGATACTCTTTGGATACTTTAATAAACATATTTCTAGCAGCATTTCTACAAAAGCCAGTTTAACCAACACACCAGCTCTCATCACATTTCTTCAGCATTCAAAACAAAACATACACACACAAAAAGCCCCACCAGTCCCCTAAAATGTCATGTCCAGCCTTACAGTGCTCATCACGTCAAAACAGCAGTGCTGTAGTAAACAAACATGCCACTGGAAATCGAAAAGGAAATCCAAAAGGAAATCCTTTAGTAAATTATCAGTTTTCCTGTACACTCTTGAGAGCTGACCTGAGTTAAATAGAGATCATTTGAATTTCCTGCACAAACAAGCTTAGTACCCTGGGCTTTCTGTTTGGTTTTCCCTCTTGCAAAGGAAATTTCTCATGTATCTATCCCAAAGCCGCTTTGTGGGACCTGCTTTTAAGGAAAAGGAAAGATCTTGAGTCATTCTCAAAATATCTGGAATTGTGCAGGAGAAAATGTTTGCAACAACTAGTTTTCCTCATTTTCCTCAGAACATCAAGAAGAGTATTTCACTGCAATTCTCAGAAGTCTCCAAAAAGGCTTCCAGAGGGCAGCTCTTGCATACAGAAAAATTATGGAAGAAAAAGTAAAAATGGGGGAGAAGGGGCGGAAAGAGGGAGGAAAAGAGCAGTGAGCCCGAAGCACAGGAACACAGAGTTCACTTATGTGAGAAACAGATCTGACCATTAGTCACAAAGTCTGAAAATTATTTCTTAAACAGAACAGCCACACACTGGTACAGTGATGTTTTCCCCATCATTATCACCTTTGCAGTAGTGTGAACAGTGTTAGAATAAGCTCCATAGGCATAACTCTGCTCCTGGTGTAGAGGACAATCAAAACCAAACAGATTACACTGGAAGCAGAATTAAAGCAATTCATTTATACACATCCTTGAAAATATCAACATAGAAACAAAGATGAACACGTGAATTTGTTGAGAGTTTATGTTAATGACATGATTACTTTTTTGCCATTTAATTGCTCCTGAAGCTGAACCAATTCAACTTTCTTTCATCAATACAAACCAGCAATGTAGCATAAAAATAATCTGTCATGAAAGGATAAACCCAACATTCTCAATTACCCTTTTTTTGCCAGTTTTTAGCAGCTTAACATGAACCATCCCTTTAAATTAAAATCTTAGGGCTTCCTTCTCAGAAAAATGTGTAAAATTTTTCAGGGTGTGCAATTTTGTTTATGTGCAGTGATAATATTTTGGCCCTTAATATTAATGGTGTCTGATTTAATAGTTTTAGCAACAATGTTTGGACCTGGCTGGCTTCCAAAATTTACTATTCCTTCTGTACAGGAATACAGTATTCTATCCAAGAACTATATCCCTGCCTCTATCTAAGCTCATGCCTGGAGCTGTTGGTCTCAAGCTGAAGTTAAAAAACAGCAGGAATAGAAACCTTTTATTGCAGATTAAAACATCCAACCAAACCCAAAAACTTGTTTAACTGGCTGACTATGAGTTAACTTCACTGACACTAATAGCAATGGGAAGGGGAAACTCAAATCCCTCAATATTAATTTTAATAGGTTTTCAAGAAATATCAAATCCTGCCCCCATTACTGGTGACAAGGTTGGTATTTGTTTCTTCTCAGAAACATGTACAAATCACTGAAGTAAAAATTCAACCTTCAATATGCTACAAAAATGACACATCAACAATGCTTAAAACAAGAGTAGTGCTATAGAAATCTAGAGCATAAGCAGCATGGAAACTTTAAAGATTACATTTTATGAGTTTTTTTTCATTTTAAAACACAGCAAAACCAAAACCAGTAGAAAACAGGATTATATGACAGACAGTTCCTCAGAAAATAGCCTCGTTGCACACTTTATATCTTTATTATTTTTCTAATGGAATTATAGAAGACAGAGGATTTAAATAGGATTCGTGTCTTGTGGTTTATTTACAGTTTGTCATTGCTGTTGTTGACTCAATACAATTCTGAGTTATGGAAGAAAAAAGAGTTGTCTTTTCTATATCTAAACTCCATCAACAATACTCCATAGTACCAAGCTTTATTATTACTATCTTTTCCAAAAGTAAACGGAGTGGAAAAAACCATAATATTTTTCATCTTTGAAAGTTTATAGTTCATACTAATACTCACAATTTTAGAAATTTTTAATGATATTTTAATTCTTTTATGATAACTTATTTCACTGAATACTTTAAAAACACGTTTCAAACAGTAATTGTGTCAAACAATAACTGCTATTAAAAAATTCACCTTTATAATAGATATTGGTTCTACAGAGGGCAAATCAGTCACTGATCCAACCTTTCAATGCATCTGTGGAACTTGGAACAGCTTGTCAACTGAACAGGAGGCTTAGAGCAAACTCTGTGTTGTTAAAATAGAGCTATTTATCATTTTATCCCCCCACTACAAATCTTCTTTCAACGTCTTTTCCAGATAATTGCTCTTATCACCATGACAGATCTTGTCCTCTGCATCAGCTTCAGCTCACCTTACAGAATGAAATCCAAGCTTTGTCTAGGGCTGTTTGTCTTTGGTTTGCTGTTCGCCTCCCCAAAGTGTCTCCTGCACAGTCCTTTCTGTCACTGCCCAATGGAAACTCCACCCAAGAACGTGTCTGAGCTTCCACTGTCTCCTGCCTCCATTAATCAGATACATTCCTTGGTGGCCTTGGCATAATCTTGGCCCAATTGTATCTAACCAGAACGTGGATGTAAAGAGTCTGTCTCATTCCTCATTCTCCACCGGAAATACTAGCTAATTATTTGCTAGTTTTTAAGTCTGTTTTAGGCAAGGTCTGGTTTTCACATGCGTTCTTTCCTTTGGTAGGCTAATTACGTTCCAAGAAGTCCATTATCAAGAAATGGCTGGGAACTCAAGGCTCAGATGAATATTTTATCTTTGACTTACCAACTCATGCTTTTGTATTTTTGAGAGCACCTTAGGTGCATGATTATAGTAAACCACTAAAAATACCTGAAAGAGGCACAATGAATTTCCTGTATGATTCATGTTGGTAATTTCTACTCAGAGAGCTCCTGCTTTGTGCCACACACTCTAATGACAGCAGTACCAGGAAAAGACTTGCTCATCACTTTAAATACAATAACTTAGAGGTCTGAAGGAAGCAAATTCAGTGCTAAAATACAATCCCCCCGATTTCTGCAGGGAACACTTTGAATGAGTGGTATGCATCATGTTGCAAAATTATTTGGAGGAAGTCCCAACATTGAAATCATGTTTCTAATGAACTTGTTTCTGCAAAGCTACCACTGACAGTCCAGACACCATCGTGGGCTGCACAGTGAAAACCTGTGGTCAGTGACAATAAAACCAAAATAATGAAAACGTCAGCAAGATGTGAAAATGAGCAAGAGGAGTGAAAAGGGGGCAATCCCTCAAAGAATTTTCTTGGGTGTGATTACTGTGTCTCAGAAGAGGAAACAGCAGAAATAAGCACTTGCATCATTAAGGACACGGCACTAATCCTGACAAATTGAAAGATGAAGTTGAAAAGATCAGTGCAATTAAAAGGAGATAGTTAAGAGAATATATGATAGAAGCACATAAACCAAAAATGCTGTATGAAGACCAAGCAGCAATTTTTTATACATACAGCTTCAAAAATCCAGTGATGCGATTCCTAGTGAAGGGAACGTGACTAATTCAAAACCTAAAAAATGAAGCCATTTTGGCCTCCACCAAGCAAAATTGGCTTCTGAAATCTACTTTCACAAAACATCAGAAGCAAAGAGCTTGGAAGGATTCAAAACAAGATGAGACATTTCTGCAGATTATATTTGCAAAACTTCTATAACATTATAACAGCATAAAAATTCTGAATATTTATCAAACAGGAGCTTTGGAGTAAATATACGCCATAAGCTTTGGGATAAGACTCAATCACTCATAAGTAAAGGAAGCTTAGAAGCTTCTTTCTAAGGAAAGGAGCACAAGAATTATTTTTCCTAACAAAGTTCACTTCAAAATGAATGGATAACCATTTCATCTTTTTTTTGATTTTTTTTAGAAGTGAAGCAGATAAAATTACTCTCATTTTTCTTTCCTACAAGATATGCTTCTGTGATATATAGGCAATAAACTCCAGACAAACAATATAACATTCCCCCTAGAAATAAAATAATCATAGTTTTTTCATTCTATTGTTTCCAAAACAGGCAAATAATTATTGAGGAGTTAATCCTATCAAAAAAAAAAAAAAAAAAAAAAAAAAAAAAAGGCATGTTTCTTTCTTTACTAATAATTTTCTTTTAGAATCTCTTGGAAACTGTTACCCTTTTGTCTTCTTATAGAATTTGCCAGTTTCTCCAGGTTTTAGTAAGCCTGACCTGACATGCAACTAAAAACTATGATGTAGGGTGTGCTTGCCTTTTGCAATGCCCTGAACAGCTGTTTAGAAAAAAAACAGCAAACAAACAGGAGAAAAAAAGCAAACAAAACAGACCAAAAAATCTCACCAGGACCACATGAGCAAACTATCCATCCCAAAAAAAGGCAAAAAATACATTTAAAAGTATTTTAAATTCTGTTTTCCTATACATGTGTGGAGAACAGACTGGGGTTTGCAAAGCCATGAAAAAATGTTGCACTGTTCCTAAGAGCTGAAAAATTTAAGTTCCTTTTTGATTTCTATCCACCACAATCCCCTTCTTATTATACAAAAGTGTAGACAATATTTAAGCTAAATTAAACTCATTTCTCCCTTCCTGCCTTAAGACCATTCCTGCCTTAAACTCTTTCCTTGCTAAACTGTCTCCCTTCCTTGGATATTTTAATACTTAGATTCATCTTTCAAAACCTCAACATCTTCCAAGAGCATGATCATTTGGGGTTAATTGTATGATTTGCATTTAATAGTATAGGATAATTCTCCTGCATCAGACAATTTTAGTGTCTCAAATTCAGAAATACTTAGAATTATATCTGTGGAATTTACACTTTTATCCTAAATTATATTTTAGTAACTAGCAGTAGTGTCTAAAATTGTTTTAGGGTTTTTTTTTTGGTTGGTTATTTTTCAATTTTGATTGTTTCACCACAATACAGTGGAATCAGCTTAAGACAATATTGCTTCAGTTCCACAACATGAGCAAAACCATTTTACTTTCACAGTTTACATTTAAAACTTTATTTCCTTGTTTCAGCTTGGAGTCATATATGTGGCAGGATTAATCACATTATTAATTGAACAATTACTCAACCATTCAAACATTTTCCAGGTTTCTGCTTTCCTTTTTCCTTCAATTTATTAATCAGAATTCATCATTCGAAATACAGAGTGACACAAACAACATCATAAAACTCTACAGAACTTTTTTAGTCACCTTCATACCTTAAGTGACAGGAAGTGACAAAGTTTTTCACTTCAATTCTGCATTTTTTCATCATATTGTGGGAGGCTCTAATTTGCTCAACATGGACTTGTTAGGGCATACTGTGCACAAATATAACATCTGGGAATCTTAGCAGCCTTTTCTATTTCTAACCACTACTGAATGATTTCTCTGGGGTCCTAAAATCTGTGTAGATCTTGCAAAAAAAGCCTTGTCTGAGAGGGCCCAGTCTCAAAATAAAATGTAAGAACACAATATAGAATGTATAGCATTTTATAGATTCAGAGCTGCTGAATTCTAGGTAATGTTATGTAGCAGTTACTGTCACAAAAAAAACCCCAACAGGTGATGTCACTTCATTCCAATGCAGTACAACTTTAAACACCCAAAATCAAAGTAAAATCCAGAAAATTTTACTTAAGTCACCAATGAAAGCCCCTCTTTCACATAGGCCCTATCTTCCAAAATTGGTTGTGAACAGTGAAATCAAGAGGAAAGAAGATTATGCAGTGTTCATTCATTACAAAATTTTATCCTTTAGTTTATAAATTAACAGAGTTTAAAACTGATCTTGTCTGATGAGGACAATTGTCTAAACACTGTTTACAAAAGTCAAGCTACACTTATGTTCATATACTTATACTCCTTTATGCAGTAACTGATGGAAAGTAAGAAAAAGGTTTCACATCCTTTTTGATGCACGATGAGGTAAATAATGCATTTGTATGTATTTGAGCTACATTTTACTGAACTTTAAATGCTGAAAACATGGTACTTATAAGAAATAAATGTTGTGAAAATTCTTAAGTGGATAAGCATAGTAGCAGTGCCTCTATGAATGTGGTTGGTTCAAATGTATTCCAAAGTCATGGTAATTTTACCCAAAATCACTTTTATTAAATGCTATCCCTTCTTACCAATGCAACACTTTTGCAATGCTGCTGCTCAAAAACAAGTCAAGTAAATACCAACATCCAAATGTCCAAAAAAATCAAAGCCTACTCTCAACACGTGGCATGTAATTAACCTGGGGCTCCATTTCTCAATAGAAGTTGTGTAATAAGAGGAAATGGGAAAAAAAATGCATTGTTCCAATTGTTACATGAAAGAAATAAAATACAGACTGCATAGATTTGCACCAAAAAAAGCCTAGTGTTGATGGGACAGGACAGTCATTTCTGATGCAGGAGAAAGCTTGTGTGTGTGTGCTTTGTATTCTGGAGAGAGGATTTAAGTTCAGTAATTTATATTTGAAATTGTCTTATGAGTTGTGATCAGAAATTGCCAAATTCAAGTACAGGTGGAACCTCCTTTCAGCCAAATTTCTTGCTGTGCTGTTCCAGTTACACCTACAACTGCAAGCTTCAATGATACAGGTCAATCAACTTTCTAAAAAATTGTTATAAGCTAAAACTTTTTTATATTCATTAGGTTCAAAGAACCACTTGGCTAATCTTGCATGACACCTGCAAAATATGTGGACCAGGTTTGTGTAAAGAAATATTAAAAACAGCAGAAAGGGCTCATTGGGACACCTCAAAGGAAACAGAAATAATTTTGTAATAAAAACCAGCAAAGCAGACTGTATGACCCTTACTAGAACAATAAAAATTATCATACATCTCCTACTAAAATTTCTTCTAGGGAGGTTTGAAGGATAAAATCTTTAATTCATGCATTTCTTAAAAAACATTATTTCTTGTTGAAACCCAAAGTTAAATACCCTTAGAGGTTACACATTTCAAAGCATCATGTCGGTAAATGAAAGAGTTTGGTTAACAATGAACACTGGAGCTTTATCAAGAGATAAACAATCTTAATACCTGTGAGAAAAGGGAATTTAAACTACAATCTATAATGAATGCTGAATAGGATTAACACTCACTTGCATATTTTATAGGTAATTGCTTCAGACCTGACTATATTGAAGCCACAATAAAAATAAAATGAAACAGGCTGAGTATGATAAGAAGTGGCTTCTGAGACAAAAATATTTATCCTTCAATAGTAACTGTGGGAAAAGACACAGAGAAGAATATTTGAGAAGAGAATTGCCTGAAGATGGTGCAGTGCATGTTTTGTTTGAGCTCAACACTTGATATAGTAGCATCCTCCTCACACGTTTTACTAGATTACGAGTGTAAGGACTCCACAAGAACACACGTCTTCACTATTATTTTGAAAAGGAAAGCCCAGACAAAGCTGAAGCTCCAACCCACACACTTATGTGATGATAGATGACACAGATGCCCCTATTCCCACCATCTGCTAGTATTCCACGTGCTATTGCTCCTTTTATTTAGTCTTATCTCCTCCCTCAGACTCTATCAATCACTTTGTCTCTCTTTCACACCCACGCTTTCAACTAGGCTTGAACAGCTCAACCACATTGGCAGTCAGGAAAATCAGAAGCACTTATCTCAATCTTTGTGCAACTTTTGCTTCTGTTTCTTTCTCAAATCTTTTCTTTATTTTGGTGAGGAGAAAAGCTCACCATGGTGATTTTTTACTATGAGTTTCTCCAGGGAGGTGAATTCTATAATATAAAATCACAACAAGGGCTATTACTTGCATTACGCCTTTGGAGAGAATAACACAGTAGTAGTAAAAGTGGTTAAAGTAATCCTCTAACATTTAAAAGGCATTTACCCGTGGGGCAAATGAAAATATGGGAAGTGCATGAACTGTGAGAGTCAGCATAATCTATTTTTATTGCTTACTAAAAAAAAACCTTGCACATAAGTATTCTCAAACAAGATGAGGCCATAAATGCCTAAACACAGTACTAAATGAATAAAATAAAGTATTATAACAATTCATAGGATTTTTATAACCCATCATCACCATGCATAAGTATGTATCAGTCCACTGACTTTATTAAAATGAAGATTCCAGTCTCCCACATGCTGTTCTATTGGCATAAAAACATCACACAGAAGCAACAGATGGGGTGAATAAAAAAAAGAAAAGAAACTCCATATTGCAGAACAAACCACCTCTGTAAACCACAACAGGAAGGAATTGCCTGAAAGTGCACAGGATGGCTTTGGGATGCAACACTAGGTCACAGCATTACTCTTAGACACAAGACCAGATGGCCATCCATGTGTGAAGCAACTTCCATGAGGAAGGGGGCAATGCCTTCCACATCATCCATTATCATTGCAAAACGAAGACATTGTCTTCAGGGTAGCCCTGGACTACTTAAAATAAAAGTTTCCCTAAATTTTATCATCACGGCTTACAAGGATTCAAGGACAGGCTGCCATTTTAATCACTGCAATGAGAAATTGGACATACAAAGGATTTTGGGAGACCTGTGTTTTCTATTCTTTTTCTCCAGGCCACACACATTGTAATGATTCTCAGACATCTCTCCTGCTTACAAGGTCAAACATAGACTAAGGTTTCAAACAAACATTCCTTTGGTATCCTTTTCTTATGCCAACTAATGTAGATCAGCTAGAGGAATTCCATTTTTATCCTCAATTCTCCTTTATTCACTACCAATTTTCACTTTCCATGGTAAAATGTTTGTCTGTGTTATTAAGTCTACCCAGCCACATAGCCAAATACACCACAGTGTTGTTCACACCCCTGTCATTTGCTGAATCTTTTTAAAATATTAATGTTCCAGAATATCTATATTGTTAACCAAATGTTGGCATTCACAAATTTAAAGTCATGACCACAATTTAGCACAGTTCATTGCTCAGAACTTATGATGTCACTGGAGTCCTAAAAATTCTGAGCAGTCAATTCTGCTGTTCATTTACAACTGTGAATTCTTAGCAGCCAGAAAGTGTCCCTTTCATACTTCAAATTAATATTTTTTAGCTCATCATTTGCATTATTCCAAGTCAGAAAAATACATTTTAGTACTTACTATTGCTGCTGTTTCTTCCTTACCTTCTCATATCCTCCTTAATGTGCAGATTTATTAGTTCTTTAGGAACATGGAAAGAGAGGGTAGTCTCAGCCATCTGTTCCCGGATCCGCATCCACTTGTTGTCAGAAGTAGGGAATCTATATAACTTACAGACTGGGTTTCTCAACACTGCCAAGAGGAAAAACATTATTGCTTTACTGTGGTTATATGACTCTGAAAAATTATGACAATAGCCTGCAAAAAATTAATATTAATTCCCCCCTGCTTACAAAATTAATTTTAGAACCGTTAAAATTCTACTAAAAACATTTAAATTTTATTTCATTTTTATACCAGCACATGGAGGACAAACTATTACTAATACATCAATAAATCACATTTTACCAGCAGAATAGGTTACCTTTGAATTTAGGTCTTCAGAGGAATGAGAATGTAAATTAAACTCTCTTTTCTTACATTTAAGCTCAAGTTAGGAAAAACAGAATGCACAAATGAACAATGAACTCAATAGAGTCACCACCGTTGCAGGTGGTAACCTGCTAGAACCATTCACAATTCCAATAAATTGCACAGGACTCAGAGTTCAGCTGCATCTTCCCCTTGGCGTGCACACACAAGTCATTAACACAAATAGAAGGTGTGCTTCTACATTAAAGGAAACTTGACCTTTGACCATGTGAGAGTTACCTTGATCACTGATGTAGTCAAGACACTGCTACTACATAGAAATAAATATAGCAGCCCTGTCAATAGGCTACACACACAGTTTTCAGATCACTACTGCAACATGACATAAGAAAAATCACATTTCTTGGTATTTTGGAAGATTATGCTTAAAACCCATCATGTTTTTTATTTTACAGTTTTCACATGTTGGCTACATTTCCATTCAGATCTTACAATGATGCTGTACAATAAAGGTGGGAAATTTCTACTCTCTCCTTCCCATCTTTTTCTTTTTTTTTGTCCTGCTCCTTTTTTCCAGAAAGAACAAATAGGGGAAAAGCTGAGGAAGAAAAAGTTCTGTTTGACTACTTTGATAAACTTACTTGGAGACAAATGGCTGTCATTTAACACACATGCCCACAGCATCCTAACTCAGAATGACTTTGGACAGCCATCCCAATCCTCCACTGGTACCTTTCTATCAGCCTCCTGGAAAAAGCTGCCTTCCAGCAGGCTCCCATTGATCTGCTGCTGAGTGGGCTCTATAACTCAGAGGAAAGCATTCCCCATGTGTGTGAGCTGTGGGGAAACTGCTGCTGTCAAAATGACAGCTACTAATAGACATTGCAATTCACAACTCCCTGACACCATCAGTGTTTATGCAGGCTGATTTATAGAGAATGAAAAATAAAAGGTACACAAACTGGCTTGTCTATCTAAGCAATCAGGTTTTTTAACAGAAACCCTTTAGGAAATGCCTAAAAGAAGACCAGACATTTAATACACTGATAATATAACCCTTGCTGGCAACTCAAAGAAAGGAGCAATGTTTAAGTGGTTGTACTGCACTGTATTCCCATCACTCCACTGAGTTATCTTTCATCATTAGTCTTTGATGGAAAAACTGGAAGCCTTTTTAGAGTCATTTTGTCTTCAGTTATCAGTGATTTTACTTTCAAAACCTAAATTCTGACTTAGTCTTATGAAATAACCGCAGAAATACTTGAAATCTCTGACATATGAAAACCAGCAATTTTTCTTTACTAATAATACTCAAACTATCTCAATGTTCAAACATTTTTCTTCACACTTTTAGAGTTTAAGGATCCTCACCATGGAGTTTTAACTACGGAAAAAATCATCTCCAAGTCCTGTGTACTCATGATCAACTTTCACCAAGTGTTCAGGCTTTATTACACACTTGCTTAAAATATGTGGCAGTGCATAGTTCTTATTTTCCTTCTCTTTTGCTGAGATTCCTGTAATCAATGAAATCAGTCTCATCAATAATATTAACAGTTTCTGTCGATTCACACAGCTGATATATGGCACCAATCATCTCCCATTAACAAGGCAGGGAATGCAAATTTCCAAAAGTCAGGAAGAGCTCAGGAAACTAAGGGCTAATTCAGATCTGGCCTTAAACAGAAAACTGCCAAACAGATGATAATTTTGGGTTGGGTTTGTTTTTTTCTGTTGTGCCTCTGATCAGGAGGGAGCAGGCTGGTACATATGACCAGGACATTTTAAATTATGATGCCCCAGACACAAAAGACTCTTTTCTTTATTTTACCTTTTTATATCTACTTTGTAAGGAGTTCATCAAAGGACTTTTTTCCAAGAACAGCCCTTAAACTTGCACTCAGAATCTATTACACTGAAAAACACATACTAATCTGAGAGAACCTAAAAAGTAGCTGAAAAATCTCTTTCCTCCCATCTCCTCCCTGTCACCACCATCACAAGGGAAAAAACCAAATCCCAGAAAACCCATCAGGGCTGCAGCAAGGGACAAAGAACAGTGAAAATATGGATCCAAAGTTGTGACTTTTATTGCTGCTAGAATTATTAAACTCCTCTCTGGGTACTAGCTGAATTTTCAGGTCTTTGATTCAGGTCTGAATTTTCAGGCGGAGATCATCTCAAGTGTGTTGTAAATTTTTTCAAATGGTCAAATCATATCTCCATGGCTTTAGGAAGATAATTTCATTTACAAACTTAGAAAAAAAGCCTGGGAATTTTTCCCAAAGAATCAAAAAAAATTCCAATATGCAGTTTTGCTAAATTTTAAGATGGTCAATAAAAGCTGCATAGTACTTGATGTTTTCCTTATAAACAGAACTACTGAAAGAATGTGATTCCATAAAAAAGTCTCAGAAGCAGCTTCCTTTCCAATTACAACAATAATTAATTTCTAACTATAACAAGTTGTCTAGAACAGAATTCTAGAACGCATGTAAAAGCATCCAAACAGTAAGAATGGCAAGACTAGAATTGGCATTTATAAAAAACAGTTATTAAAATGAGTGGAAGTTTCATAAACATAATCCTTCCTGTATTTAAACAGTGATCATGAGAGGCATTTAAAAAAAAAATCCACATGAACTGCAGTAGTCAAAAAAGAGAAAAACCTATTTTAAAAGCTTTTCTCTATAGCATCAAGCCAAAAGCCAATGCCATATATTTACCCATCCATATTTTTGGACATTCTCATTTTTAAATATGAAGACCTCTGTGCTTTTTATTCCATGCAATATCCTTCACATTGCTTCCCCTGAAAGTAGAATAAAAAAATAATAAAAGATTGAATACTCTGGTTTTATTTTCATTCCCCATTGAACATAGATCAAAGCATAACTCTGCCATATATTAATTTACTAACAGTATTTCTATTTATATCTTTCTTTGTAGCATAGGTATATGATGTGTAGTACCTCAGGAATAATAATTACAGCTTTCTTAATTTTGCTTAATTTCAATTACTTTTATTCTCTTTTTTATTTAGAATGCAATTTGTTTACATGCAAACAACTGGCAAACTCTCCAGCATTATAAATAAATAACTGAATTGTGAGGAGTAAATTCAGTCTCTTGGGGTATAGATGGAATAGTGATAAGGCTCTGAAATACACGACTCATTCCCACTCACTCAATAACCATCTCATAACTCACTGGAGGGCTGCAAGTTCCCTATCATAAGATTTAAATTTCAGAAGAATGCCAGCGTGCTCCCTGTGCCTACAGGCTTAAGGATTCACAGACGGATATTTTTTTTTTCAGTTTCATCATTTTGAAGGCCTGATAAACAACAAGAAACAGAAAGCACCAGAAAGCTTTAGAGCAGCATACACGTGTACTAAATATGTATGCCTATGGAATGCATACAGTTCTGGGGGTAGTTCTGTGTGAACACAGCAGGGAGAGCAGTGCAGGCTCTGTCGGTGTTCCCAGGTTTCCTGACACTTCTGCACAGGTGCCCATGTGAGAAACCCAGTGTGTCTCCAGGCAACACGGAGAGCCTTCATCCACAGGGAGCCCAGTGACAGAGGCGTGCTGGGCAAGAAGTCTGATGGCTTGGGGAAAGAGGCTGGCAGTATAAAAGGAGAGCTAACATTTTCTAAGAAAAGAAATCAGGTATTCAATAAAAAGAGTGGGACTGACAAAACCTGGGACCAGTGCCTGCTGTCAGCAGGAAAGTGCAGGTCATGCTGGATGAGAAGAGAAAGTCACAAGTACAGGAAACACACTGAAGAGTAATTATTTATCAGAACAAACTTCCTGTGAGTGCAAACTCTTCCCAATATCCTGCACGCTGTCATTTCTTGCATTTGCACCTGCAGTTCTGCTCTTTCCCTTCAATTATTTTAAAAAAACCCTGAAAACTCAAAAAATGACAGAAAAACAAGTCCTCCATGCTATGTTTGACTTTATAAACCCTAGTAGTGTTGGGTGGGGTTAGGTTTTATATTGTGTTTTTATTTGGGAATAATAAATGTGAAAATGCTGTCTAGATACACTATAGAATCATGTGCAAATGTTTTTGACAAATTGATCTAGACTTCAATGTTCCTAAAACCGACATCTACCTAGGAAGTTCCAACAAAATACATTCACAACCTACAGAATTTTCCCATACAAAAGAAGCCAACAAAAAACTCTAATCAAACCCACACAATGGAAGCAATAAATAGAAAAAAATCAGCCATGAATCAATACCCTTCTCTGAACAGAAGTGTCATTTCTTCAAGTCCCACTAATCTGGATGACAGAATCAGAATCAAAGAACTGCACTGAGTTAGACCCAATCCTTCAACTGGCTCTGTATCTTGTCTCCAAGAAAAGCCATAAATAGATACCTAGACATGCGAGATACTCTCCCTGCCTCCAGCTATTTCCAGTTCAGGAATTTCAGGAGCCAGTTGCAGTTCCTGTACATTCAGTAATTCTCAATTAACATCTTTCTCACTTGGAATTGATGAAAATAAATGGTAGTTCTGTAGAAGAAACTTTTTCTGTTTCTGATCTAGTCTCAACAACACACAGGAAAAAAATACAGCATTCATGTATATATAGAAGAACTTAATTTTTGGAGGCATTTTGTGCTTCCTTCAGACTGCAAAGCCGATTCCATAAGTCTGCCCTATCAGAGAAGTCAGATGAAAAGTTTCAGTAAAGGTTTTAAAAGGTTGTAAAACTTCAGTAACATTCCTCCTCAACTGTATGCAGCAAACAGAATTCTTGACAGCGCTGTGGCTTCAGATGACCCATATAACTTATTTGTGACATTGTTACTGCAGAGTAATGGAGATTCATAAACTTGGGCTAATAAACGTTTTATGGCACAGCATATCAGCATGTAATATTTCTCAGCATAATGAAAGAGAAATAGATCTAGTTTAACACCATGCACTTAAGCCCAGAGTTGACCTAGAATTGAGAATGCCTTGCCAAAAGCTCCCTTCATTCTAGGACAGACAGCTTCCAGATCAAACTGAAACTGCCCCTTCATCAGCTATGAGAGAGATTGATTACCCCAGGATTCACTTACAAATAATGCACAATTATTTAACAGAATGCCATGCAATGACATGACACAAACTTATGACGTTAATTCCATGCCCATGGAAGTCACTGACAGTCTTGAAAATCATTGAATAGTAAAGATGTAGGAGATGGAGATTTCAGCACTGCTTCAGAAAGCATAATTGATGCATATTTCTTCACATTTCTCAGTAAAATGATAATGTCAAATATGTATAAAACACTAAAATAGTGAACTTAAACATCTGTGCAGCATTTGGAGAGACATTTATGAGCTCTGCCACAAATCTGTGTGATTCCTTCAGCACCTGACATAGTGCTGCAAGAGCCATTTCTCACAGATGTTGGAGCTTACCTGCATTTAAGGAAGGCAGGTTGTCTTTCCCACTGATGCCTTCAGTGGCTGTGCACTCACGAACCAATGCACACTGCAAAAGAAATACAGCCACAAACGTGACACATTCAGGGGTCTGAAATAAATCCATGGCAGTTTATAAAAGGTAAGTTGAAAACCATCGCTGATAATAATATAAACTTCCCAAGTCTCAATTATAATTTACATTTTTATCTTTATATTTTTGCTCCAAGATACTGTAACACAATCAGAATTGTAGCCAAGAAAATGACAAAATATGGTCAGCTGTTCCATTATAAAACAGAAATGTTTCCTACCAGTATAATGGCAGAAATGTTGAGAGATATTAATAGTTTAGCTTAATGAGTAAGTTTTATTATAAGAATAAGGCATTTTAGTTTACAACAATTTTTGACAAGTTTTGTGCTTTCAAAGAGGTTTCTTTGGGCAAAGCAGTTTTCACATGCACATTGCAAGAAAACACTTCATTAATTTTTAAAAAAGGGAAAACAAAGCACAAAAAAGTCTTTAAAATGTGCTCACACTTTGTGATTGAAGTAATTTGCTATATAAGTGAACCCGAATATTGCTTTGGTAAGATTAGTGCATAAAAGTATAAAAAGTTTATGGAAAAATCAATCAGTGTACACCTATGTTAAATGTAGTATGACCTTTTTAATGCTCCTCCTATCCCCAGCCAGAAAACAAATGGGAGTCTCCAAAGGGGATAGGGATCTCTGCTCCCAGGGCTTCTCCAGTTCCCAGAAGCTCAGTGGAGAATTTAAGGCAGACAGCAATACATCATCTACTCTCTACCAGGTGATACCTGAAAATGAATTTAACCATCACATTCCTCTCCCATGAGAGCTTCCTGCACATAATTTATCTAAAAATGAGCAAGCCCAGTTCAAAATTTATTTCTTTTATAATACTTCAATAACTTGACATTCTCACGATTGCATCTTCATTATCAACATATAAACCAAGACTGTGCTGCAACTGATTTGTACAAACCAAGAAGTCCTTTAAAGACCACAGAAAATACATCTGTCATGAGTCTGGTCTCTCTTTACAAGTATTAGAAACCCCTAGAAAGATGCTATTAAAGCCTTCTGTCTCCCCCAGGCCAGACATAGCTCATTAATTACATCTCAAATAATTGCAAGGATCATTCTGCATTTTGAGGTGGAAGAAAAGCAAAATAAAAGAGAAGGCTGAAAACACAGCTCATGTTGCCTATATTGTGCAAGTTTTACAGTTCAAAACCAGAAAGATTTCACAGCATTTGTTGGCTTTTCAGAACTGGTCCCACTCACCTGCTGTTTTTAAAAGGCACTGAAGTCCTTTCAGGTAAGTGGTGAAAAAAAGTGTAAAATCTACCCTGAGAATTTGACCCAAAAGCAGACTGTTTTGGCTAAGCAGAAAAGATATTGAACACAATGTCCTTTTCTCAAAAAATCATCTTATATGCTACTTCTAAACAAGAAACTGCTGCATTCCCTGTAGCAATATTTCCTTTTTTTTTTCCTACAAAGAACAGAATACACCATAGTGTTAAGCAATAAACCATCATATTAGAGCTGCAAAAATGTGCTCCCATGAAATGCAGATGAACCTGGCCCTCTGCAAGGGAATTCACCTCTTCTTTGGTTTGCCTGTCTGCCATTCTTCCCAGCTTTTCAGTATTGTGGGCACAGATTGCACATAAAAATCACCATGAACAGGACTTCAAGGGCAGAAAGCAGAGCAGCTATCCAAGGGAAAAAGAAGCTGTACTTATGGCATCTCTGGAGTTTTTTACCAGAAGTGATTGAGTACATTCAGTTGAGAAAAAATAAGCTATTTTTTTTTCTTAAAGAAGGAAAGGAACTAGGAAACTCAGGTTAGACTATTACTCTGTACATTTTCATGAGGTTTTTTTTTTTTTAGTTGAGGGAGAGAATAGTACATAGTAATTAATCCAGAAATTCTGTTTTAATTCCTTAACCAAATTTGGTAATTAGTATTTTAGACACCTGGTACAACTGATCATTCTAATTAACTTTGTGCAATAAACTGAGTTTCTACCTTTTGATCCTGGGTATCTGCTGTGATGTGGTCTGCTTCCCCCTCCTCTAGTTCTCCCATCTTCACAAGATTGACTTCAATGGTACCAACTGTCTTTCCACCATCAGATGTTCTGGAAAAAAGAAAACCAACCCATGACACTGAGTCACTTGCTGCATCAAATTCTTTCAATTAAAATATTGTCAGTAAATATTTAGTTCCCTCTCCATTCTGTAAAGCTGCAGTCACCTGTATTGAATTGGTAATTTACCATCACAAACCAAATGTTAACAATGAGGCAACTTCTTCAGGACAATGGAAGTTTTCATCACTAAACTGAGGTGCTATAAATGGTGCATGAATCTATGAATACTGCCAAGTTTTCATTCTAGACCTTATCCTGGCACTGTGGACCATTGGATAAAGGGCTGTAATACTGCACCAATATTCCACTTAAGATCTGCACTCCCACTGCAGAGTACATGGCTTTGTTTCCTAACAATCTACAAAGAAATTATATACTCAGTGTATTAATTAAACCCCTAAAAAAATCAAAATAACAAAACAAATCTGAATATCACTTCTCCCTTTGTAATCCATCCATAGAGTAATTATTCAGAATTCATCCCATTTCTTGAACTATATGGGAACAGTAGTACAGGTCCAGGTGAATTCCTTTAATATCATCTCCACAGATATCTTACTCCCAATAAATAAAACAAACAAAAACAATTCAGATGTACAACACCAAGAAAAGAGTATCATTGACTACTTTCAGAAGAAACAAGAGTTTCAATTCCAGAAAGATACCAAATGCTTTTTCAGCTTTCAGAGGCATCACAGCACCAAGGTTAATGGCACAGTCTATCTCCCCTGGCTTATTCTGAACAGCTGGATTTTTTGAAAGGAAGGAAAGAAGAGTTACTGACTATTCCATAATAATGAGGGAAGGGTAACAAAAGGCACCAAGCAAAAATAAGCAAACGGAAATGATGAGAATAAGTTCAGCACAATTACAAAAACACAGCGAGGAAGGAGAATCAAAACAAATGTGTTTGGTGCAATGCTATGTATTATCTGAGCAGTGAAAATGAAGAGTGATAAATAGGGAAGAAAGAATACATGGAAAAGTTCAATGTTATAAAATCATGGAATTATTGAATATGCTGAGTTGGAAGGGACCCATTTTAATCACCAAGTTCAACTCCTACAGTAAAAAATGAAAAAACAGTTAGCCCCAAGCTTTCAAATTAAATAATTATTTTGGTTGCAAACCATTAAGCTTTAATGTGCACTCAGTAGAATACACTCATCTTGCAACTATACAGATCTGATCTATAAAACCTTACAAAATAAACATAATTCTTCATATTTTACAAAAATTTTAAAAATTTATTTGCTTGAACCAAATTAATTACCTACAATAAAGAAACAATTAAAAGCAAACCAGTTCCAGACAGTTTTGCAATTGAAGAAGCTTGTATTAATTAACAAAGTATCCAGGAGAAAAGTAGTAAGGGTTCCATGTTCAAATAGTGCATATGAGCCGATAGACATAATAATTTTGGAATGCATGAGAACAACTTAAGGGCCTTCTGAATGAAGAACTTTCCCCTGACTTGCTACAGCCTCATGGTTTGACTTAACTCCTTTTCTCCTGGTTTCAAACCTGCACCCAAACTAGGCTGTGTCAATAAATGGACTACAGCATTCCCAAGCAGAAAGGGAATATGTCAGATGTCAGCAAATCACATATCTCTTTAAAAACAAGAGTGTGTGGTTATAAGACTGAAAATTTTTCAACAGCTTAAGGTGTTCTGATCAAAGTGTCAAGTGAATAAACTGATTTATTTACTGTTGCTCCAGTAAAATAAAATGGAAATGCTAGCTACAGTTTCCCAGTCCTTGTCTCTTGTTCCTTAGAATGCTAAATATTCCCCTTGCTGCTGTTATTAAAACCTTGGCCTCAGTATGACAGTCAGTACTGCATTGCTTGCCTGCATGAGGAGCAATAAGTATTTTGTATGGGTTTTAAAACAGTGATTGATCTCACTTCATTTTACATTTTTTAAAATTATTATTTTCTTATCAAAATCCCCCCTACTCAGGTCTTATACATATGTAATATTACAATCTGAAACATGCATTACCTGCAAGAGAAGGTAATGCAACACAATAAAACTAAAGAGTGGGACTTGCTGCATTGTAGTTGTGCTTATTTCTCCAGCTCTTATCTTCCCACACAGAAACATAAACACACGATTTAACAAAATAAGCCAACAACAATAAAACCAACAAATCTCCAATCCAAAGTTTCTTTTGAATGCTACAGGCATGCAAACCAACAAAGGGCTCTATGAATGCCCAGGGCAAAACTGCTGTGAGCAGTGTCAGACTCTGATTTCAAAACACCAGCAGGGCATGACTGTCTTCAAGTAGACATGTCACACATTTCAAACTTTCCAGCAATATCATGAGATTAACATTTCACTTGGAAGAAAATTTAAAAAGAAAAACAGAAGTGATGCAGTGGGAAAGATTTAAAAAAAAAGCTTGTGATCATAGTTTAATGGGATAAAAACCTGTATAATTTTACTTTGCACTAACAATGCTGAGCACACACACTCGTGCATGTACACAGCTTTGTCTGCAGAGATGTGAAGAGAATCTCACACATACACGCTGTTCAACAGAGCAACAGAGAAATAATTAATTGGTTTTAGGATATTTCATAATGCATTAGGATGGAACCAGCTTATTTGCTGTAGTTTAAAAAAGATGAGAAGGACACTGCACCCACATGGTGCAGTGAAGATGGGCCCTGCATCAAATTGCCCCTAGGCATAAGAGAGGGAGCAATTGTATATAGCAAGTGTATATATACACTTATATACATATAGAGCAATTGTATGAGCAAGTATACATATAAATAAATGAATAAATATATATATATACACATACACACACACACACACCATATACCCACAGAAAAAAGGACTGCACCTTGACACCTGCATAGGGCAAGTTGGGATGGGGGATACTGTACAAGGAATAAAATCAGTGTCAACATAAGAAGCCCATCCATAGCAGAAAATCCCACTGGTTTATGAAGCTGGAATATTGCTGATACATTTTAGCACCCTGGGACAAGGAGCAGCAATTGCCTGATACCAGGCAGCAGAGCACCTGCATTTGAAATAGATTTCTGTACAATCCCAAGTCCTTAAGGATCCCCAGGTCAGTATTAGTTCCCTCAAATGTGAAGGAAGGAGGCAGCCAGTAACTCCATGAGCAGCAGGAATTTGTTCCCACCTTAGGTACTTCTGGCCATAAAATGTTAACCAAGGCATCCAGAGAGGAAGAAAATAAAAGTAATTGAGCTAGATGGACTGAGAACAGCAGTCATTTGCCTCCAATGCTGATCTCATCAAGTCTCACTACTACATGTTGGATATGCAAATTTAGGCCTGCTAATTGTTTCCCATGGCCATACATCCTCCTTCTAAACAAAAACAAAACAAAAAAAGAATAGAAATATTCAATAACACAAACGAAAAAAGGAAGCAGACTTCATGTTTGCATGGCTGTGTTAATTAAAAAAGGCAAAGTGACTGCCTGAAAAGCAAACTGCATGACTGAGTCTAGCAGGCAGCCCCTTTCTCCAGAGCATAACACACAATAAAAGCAATTAGCACAGACTAACCTACAGATTGTCATAAAATTAATGTCCCCACTGGTATAATATATTTTGATACATCCAAGCAGAAAACTATTGCACTTACACAAAAATATTTATCTGTGAATTCAGTGAAGCCTATTACAATAATCAATACTGGTTTTAAACAAGGCCACAGTAAATAACATTCTGTTGCATTCTAAGGTAAATAAACAAAGTTTGCAATGCTCAGTTCTTTCTGTTTTCATTATTTCAATGTACAGTTGATTAAGTTTCATGTCAGAACAAGTTTCACCTCAACTGTATTGGAGATTTGCCTAACTTATAAAGTCAAGCTGTTGTTCACCAGCTTCTTGAGGTGGATGACACAACATGAAGCAGCCAACAACTTCAGGAGGGAGACCAAGTACAACTAGTTTTAGACGGATATCTATTAAATTTTAATAGGGAAATGCAGCTAAATATATAATATTTTATAGTCCTTATTGGCTAGGGAAGTTATGTTAAGTACATAAATGACTGCAGAAATTACTGTGCTACTTCCCAATTCTCTCTAGTTAGTTAAACTTGGTGAATATTACTGCTACCAAAGTGCAGTTACATGTTTTCTGGCCCACTGAACTACAAGCTGTTAGGAGGGAGGGAAATGAAGAGGATTTTCATTCCAAAAAAAAAGCTAGGTTTATCACCTTTCTTTACAGAAAGTTCAGTCCTATGCAAGATTAATGAAAAGAAAACAACTAAAATTAGACAGGCCAGATAAATAGATACTGTCCAAGAGATTAAGCACTGACACCAGCTTAAATAGGTCTGTGTAGTACAAGATTGACAGACACAACCTCCCAGATAACCTGTATAATTCTTGCACTCCATCCTAGTTCCTGTTTGTTTAGCTCCACTGCCACAGAGTTCCTGCTCACAGAGGCCAAAGAATCTGAGTGGCATTGACACTGATTTCACACTGATGTGCCCTAATTACACATTTGTCAGTCATTTAAGAAAAACACGTCAGATGCACCTTAATTTTGCAGAGGACACAAGAGAGCAGAATATCGCTTGATATTATCTTTTATATCTCACTAAATATCAATATCATATAAAGATTATATTTTTCCTTTCCTCCTTCTTACATGTAAATAAGTGGAAACCATATCAAAATTGGCCAAGCTAAAGAGGACCTTCCTGGAACAGGCAAACTACCACCACAGGGAAAGGGGCTAATAGAAGTGTTGGTTGTTGGCTCTTTGCAAAAGGCCATAGAGCTCAACTAAGGAAAAAAAAAGAAAATCCCAAAATATTATGCTGTTCTTAACAGCAAGGCATGGCAAAAGATCCTCTAAACTGAATTTAAAAAATAAATCAACTTAAAAAAATAATCAGTTTTAATTACTAAATTAGCAGCCAGTATACCTAGATCTCATTTAGAAAGAAAAAAATATGTATTTCTCTTTTTTTAATTGGACACAGTATATTATATAGTCAATCTTAAGAAATATTCTCCTACTGAAAAACACTTTTGTTTCCTTCAACAGCCTATTTTATGCCGTTCATCATCACAACTGTATGAGAAAGCTGGAAGCAAGTGACATTGCATTATCATTGCAAAATGAAACATGAAAGCCTATAGAAAGCTTCTCTCTTTTTATAAATTCCATATTGGAAAGTGCAATCCTAAATCTCTAATAACTGAATTCCTCTGCCAACATCTGCTGTGTACACTGAAGTAATTCTACCTAAATTGACCTTTTTGTGTTTTGATGATTAGCTACAGATCTACCAGAAACACTCAGCCACCAGTTTAGGGCACCTTTATGGAGAAAAAAGGACAATCAAAAGAAAAAACTTCTTTTGCAGAAGCTTTGTAACTTGTGTCCCTAAATCACTATAAGAGTACAATGGTAGGAAAATGGAAAAGTAGAGCAAGGTGTGTCAACAGTAAGAACTTGTACACACGTGCCAGCTCTCCACAAAATAACAGAAAAATACAAGAATCTTCCTTGAAAACGCTTTTATATTGATACATTGCACCTCAGGAAAATGGAAAGACGTTAAAAAAAAAGGAAAATAAAAACAAAACTCAGTTAAAAATTAACCAGATTCTATAATTACACCAGTCTTTACAGGGCACACCACAGAGCTATTTCCTTAAATCTCTACTTTCATCTGACAAAGGAGTATCTCAGTCATAGGCACTCCCTGATAAACTCCCATCCAAATAATATCAACAAGAATTAAACAGAATTTCATGCTCTGACAAGTCCCTTGATATATCCTCTATCCTCCTGAGAGTTACTAATACCCCAGGGTGATTAGCAGACTGCTCTGGTTAAATTGCCATTGAAGAAATGTGGATAATTTCTACTGAATTTCTGCTGCTGAATAGTAATAATCAGAAAACAATCCCACTTTTGAAAAGTTATGATCTTTTTCTTAAAAAAAACCTAACTAAACCCTGACTAAACCCTACCATTTAATGTATCTGCAAATTAATTTAATTGGTATATTTGTCTTCTAGTGTTAGCTGAACAAAAAGGACAAACAAGACTAAAAATATTAATTAAAGGCAAATTTTTCATCTATTTCTGATGAGTTTTCCATCTTAACTTTTTGATTACAAGTTGGAGATGCCTGAGATACAAAATATTTACTCTGAAACTGTCCAGAAGCTTTCCATTCTGTCAATTACTGTGCCGCCTGTCAGAGGCAATCTTTCAGATCAAATTTTCAACGTGTCAGTTTGGGAAGCAAAGTTTATCCCAAAAAGCTAATGACAACTTGAATTCCTGTAAGAATAGATTCTTACAATCACTAAGCTGGAATTCATTTACCTTGTCTTCAATTCCCATAGAGAACAGTCAGTTCACATTATATCAAATCAGATTTTTTTTGTTAGACAAAGTTATCTTCTTGTTAGGAGTGGCATTTTATGTTTGGGAGAAATTAAAATCAAAGTATTTTGTTAACTTTGCCCTGTAAACAACACACTCGTATACATATGATCTTGTTGAAATAGGAAGGCAGGTGCCAAAATACTTTAAGACGTTTCCATTTCTAAAAAAATCTCTGAAAGGTTCATACTTTGCTCCTTAAACCAAATTAAGGCTGTCTTCCTGTGCTCAGGGTAACAAATGTAAAACAACTTTCTCACAGCACTTATCCAGTGTTTCAGTTCTCCCAGTCACAGCTTCTTTCCTTCCAAAATGTTTCCCTTGTAGACATATGGAGTTTGAGCAGTTGCTCTGTGAAGCTTAACTGAACCTTCCCAGTAATCCCAAATAAGCCTCCATTGCTTATTGCAGAAATCAGCCCAACAAAATCCCTGCACTATATAAAATCCAATGAATTTATTCTGAAAATCACCACCTAAAAGGTTGCCCCTAACCTTCACAAGGTTTTGATTTCTATCTTCATCTATCTTAAGCCATGCAAGACAGCATCAGGGGTGATAAATGATTTTTTTTCCTTCAGTGCACAGCTTTAAGATGTATTTGTTCAGCCCAGCCCTAGGTTTTGAACACTGTCACCTTCAATAATTAGGCCCACCTTCTTTAAACATGCTTAGCAAACAAATCAAACTGTGAACTGGTAATTTTTTAAATCACACACACCAAACAAAACTGAGGCTCTTATGCTCCTTTCTAAAGGAAACTTCGAAGGAATATTCCCTATGCCAAATTCCCTGAAATTCTTCCACAGGTTATCATACCATAAAATTAATTTTTCTAATCTGGCAACTGGGAAGCTCCAGGTTATAGGGTTGATTGATATTTAATTTTGAATTTGTTCATGGCAGAATTAGAAGCACTTCAAGTTGACCTCCAATATACCTGATGAAACATGGAGTTTAAAGCACAGTCAAGCAGCAATCATAGAATTGTATAGGCTGGAAAAGACCTTTAAGAGCATCGAGTCCAACCATAAATCCAGCACTGCCAAGTCCACCATCCAACTGTGTTCCTCAGGGCCACATCTACCTCCAGGGATGGTGACCCCCCTGCTTCCCTGGGAAGCCTCTTCCAGTGCTTGATAACCCCTCATGTGAAGAATTTTTTTCCTGATATCCAATCTAAACCTCACCTGGTGCCACCTGGGGCCGTTTTCTCTTATCCTTTTACTTGCTGCCTGGAAGAAGAGATGGATCCCCATTCCACAACATCTCCTTTCAAGGAATTCTAGAGGGTCCCCACTCAGTCTCCTTGTCTCCAGGATAAACACTCCCAGCTCCCTCAGCCATTCCTCACCTGACCTTTCCCCATCCTTGCTGCCTTTCTTTGGATGAGAAATGCCAAGGGTTATTAACTCACCATGATTTACAACAGAGGGAAACACTTACCTGAGGGTAAGGGTCAACTGCTGCTCCTTTGACTTGACCAGATCTCCTACTCTGAAAGTAGCACAGCCCAGGAAACTTCGCTACAAATCAAAGCGGAAAGAAAAGATAACATATTCATTCATTTTTTTTTTGTTGCTTCTTTTGGTCTCATGCTTGAAAATCTCTGTTTGATGCCGAGAAAAATATTGCATTTCAATATAACAGTTTGACACTCTCTATCCACTAGAAATTTTTTTGTGCATCTGCAGCATGATAATCAGTAAACTGTTAAAAACTTTGGTTTTATGGGCAGAAACCTTCCTGCTTTCCATTAAGGACAGTCTAACCTGAGAAAATAACAGGTTGTAAGATGTACAACCACAGGAAAATTTCCATTTAGTACAAGTATTTGCATTTTGCATCTATTTCTTTCTATTTTTCTAATTTCTGGGTTACAAGAAGTGTTAAGTTTTCAATGTTTTACCAAAGTTCTTCTTGTTAAGGTTTTTCCTCAAGCTGCTGGCACTACCATCCATGTATTCCAAATATGAATGCATTTGCTAGGAAAGTATTTTTAAATTGAGTTCGGCACAAGTTTCTTAATAGAAATGTTATATTTCTCTAGTTCTTAGCAAAGTTTTAAGTACTTTTTTCCTCTATTTCCATTGTAATGTGAACCTATTCAGTGTATTAAAAGTGCAGAGAAATGTGGTAATGCAACTAAAATGCCTCAAGTTAAATTAAGCTACACCACTAGATCTTTTTCTTCCATAAAAATCACCCCTTGCACATTAAAAAAAAAAGGTACCAAGAGGAAAAAGAGATTAAATCTTCTTTTACACTTTGGTTATTTTTTAACCTCTGCTCATATCTTGCTCCACATTGCTGAAAACCCATTTTGTCAACTACAGCAGTAGTATTCCTGCCTTGGGAATAATGGGAAAGAAACTAACAGCCTACAGCCATCTTCTATCCATTTATCTTTCAAATATACAACACAATTATCACTTGCTCTAAATAAACTATAATGAGATCATGACATTATCTTTAATTTTTTGCAATAAAACAATAAGAAGGACACAAGGTTTGTTTTTATTACATAACACTAAGTTTATTGTTGGAATGGCAAATTAAAATTCCAGCCTAAATTATACACATTCTTGGATATACAAACTAAAGAATCAAGTCACTCTGAGTCAACAGAGGCTGCCTACAAAGAGCAACTTTTGCTTCAGGGAAAAACAGAAAAGAATTTGTTGCTGCTGAGAAGAGTAACTTCCTCTGCTAAAAAAACCCCTTCAGCTTGCTTTCTTTCTGAAAAGTCAGCAGGATGTTGAGTGTTTGAATGTGAACAATAAAGCTCTACACTAAGATAAATTTTCTTCCATATACAATGTACAGTTCAAATAACAAATCTGAAATTAGATAAGCACCAACACTGGTCTGCAGTTTGGTAAACTGAGGTATGAGGTATGGCTTGTTCCCATCAATGGCACAGGCTTAGATTTCCTAAGCTAAAAAAAAAAAAAAAAAGTGGATGTGGGAAGTGATGAACAGCAAGAAAGGAAGAAAAAAGGCTTGTAGGATATATATAGAGAAAAATAACCCAGCCACACAAGCAGAGATCATGGTTAGTTTTCAGTGCCAAAATGAAAGGTACTTGTAGAAAAAAGACATCCAGGTGTAACACACAGTGATGCACAGCCTTGCTGCAGTGAACACACAGGTGGTTCTGTCTTCCTTTACATCAGTCAACATGACAGTGTTTCTGCACTAAAACTCTGTGGTCAGACGTTTAGCCCAGATTACTTATCTTCTTCCAAGAGCACATCCTTCTTCATGCTGTAAGAACACATTCCACAGCACTGTATCTCGATGGCAGCCTTTATTCTGGCATTTCATGACATTTGAGTGCTTGTATTTGAAACCTGACCATTTGGAAAGGGGAAGAGGAGTATTTGGAATGAAACTGATATAAGGTTTGGTCACCTGGAGCTTCTTTCTGCAGCAAAATAGGACTATAAATATATTTAAGAATCCTAAGTCAGAATCCTCATGTGAAGAGGGCCAAGAGACAGCTACACTGCTCTCTCATAAAGTCAAAGAGCTTTGGTCACTGTACCCACTAAACATGTCTGAGTGTCAGATCTACTTCTCCAGTGTCATGGAATTAAAGGTGAATGATTTTATCAGCTTTACACATTCTACTTAGCTCTCTGTTTCATATTTTTATGCTTATTTAGAAGAAAAAAAAAATTCCTTGCTTGACAATGCAGCTATGTGCAAAATCAAATACAATTTAAAACGATCCCATGACCCATATGAAAGGAGTTATGCTCCTGTGCAAGGAGTTCTAATATCAAACTGGAGAATACTTTTTCCATACTGATTTAGATACCAATAGTCCAGCCTGGGGCCTGAACTGGCAGTCTACAAACCAATCTAACTTTGCCCACATGACTTGGAAAGGCTTGAAAAGTAGGCTTTAAACAGAATTGCTGCTGTAATGCTAATTGCAGAGTAACGTTCCTTTGGAATTTTGCTAGTGCTGTAGCACAACAATAAATCTTAAGATATGTGCCTTGAGTGGTTTGATGGATAATCTCAGCTAGCCAAAGAGAAAAGTCTCTATAATAGCTGTATGAAAAGTTAAAACACATCGATTATTTCACTAAGATTGAACTTGCTGCCAAGCTACAGATTTTTCAAATACTAGCTGCAGTCCTGAAAACTATGCCAAGGAAGCCCTGGTAAAGAAGAAAAGTTAATACCTTAGGCTAATAATTTAAACCCCCAGTTATTTTACATGTTTGCTGACACCTGCACCAGGTGGTCTTTGTTCCTTTTTTCAGCTCTACCAAGACCAACCTTCCCCAACACCACCAGGTGTTCATATTGTCTGGGAGGAAACAGAAACTACTTCACAATACCTTTGTCAAATGCTCTGTAGATCTACACATAAAAATGAGTCCTCTATATGTTGCTAGTTTAATTTCTGAAATCACAAACCTAAGGCGACTCCTGCTGCAGAATGTTTGATACCCTACACGCAAAGACCCGAAGTTCTCAAGGCAATGCCATTCCAGACTCTCAATCTCATCCAGATTGCTCGTGTGACATTAGCAAGGAGTTTACACAGTTGTGCTTGTCTCAGGATAGCTTCAGTTGAGAAAGATTTTCAAAAATATGTGAATGGCATTACATCAATCCATGAGACTATCACTCCAGCCTTAATTATTTTATTCATTTAACCAAAAACTTTTGCTGTTAAAAAAGCTTGTCAGCTCCTGTTGAGCAGTGAGTGTCTGTGCCTGCTGATAAGATGAAAAAAAACCCCAAAATCATAAAATAAATCAACGAAAATAATTGCTTACCCCAACATCTGCTCTTGGTTCCTTGTGATCAGGTAGGACACTGGTGCGGACCTGAGAGAAGTGAAGGGAAAAAAGGCAAGAAATAATTAAATTTTTTGTTGTTGCTTTCCAATTAGAATGAAACAAGTGCTCATGCCTTTTTTTCTCATACTTTTGAAATTTTGGAGATAAATTTAAATGAAGTTATATATGCATATATAATTTATAACAACCAGTAATTTAAGCACAATATTTGCTGGTTCCTGTGAAGAAAGTCTCTTACCACTGCCCTTTTATCATTCTGAACTTTCCTGAGTCTCTAAAGGGAGAAAAGCTGTGGTCAGTTCAGTCCCTTTCCTAAAAGGACATTTTTTTTTTGGCTGCAACTTGAGTGACAGAATTCTTCATCTAGAGGTGTTATCTGGAAACAAAATTTTCAGCTTCAAGAGAAAGAGCATAATACATTGAAAAGTATTTTTCTCCAGGTAAGTACGTGCCTTTGCCAGCTGCTCTGCAGCAGAAATCCTGATCCCCAGTCTCAGTCTATGACCCTGCGTCCTTCAGCCACTTGCTGAGCATCTCTGAGATGAGAAATGTTTGTAGGCATTCAGAGAAGGAAAGCCTCTATATCCTCCCCTGCATGGAACCTCCAGCTGTCCCCGTGTTTTCTGCAAGGTGGAGCTGCCACTGTACTCAACTGCTTCCATTTCACAAGAGTAAGTCTGGCATAATGTCACTTCCTCTTCTGTATTTCCCAAAATAAGTACAGGTTGGTGTGTGGGTGTGTCTTCAGTGTCTTTAGAATTTTATTGTTGAGTGGTGGTTGAGAACAGACAGATTGAACAGCAAAAATGAGATAGAAAATGTATAAGAAAACCTCTGTGACATCCCTCATGGCCTGCCTGGGCCAAAATCAACCCTTTGGAATAACTTGCTGTTAAAAGCAACACACAGGGGAGAATACACTGAGCATGTACATCTGTTTCATTACCTAGCCTAAATATCTGTTATTCCCCAAGAACAAACTTTTGGCTAGATTTCCAAGTAAAACTCAAACTCATTTTGTAAATCCTTCTGCAAAAGACTCTTTTTTTTTTTTTTTTTTGGTGCCCTCAAATGTGACCTTCAATTCTTCTATTCTAGCTGCAACTTCGTACACAAAAAACCCCACTCATTTAAAATAAAAGTAATTTAATTGTCTGCTTGTTATTTTAAATACATGTTGTGAGAAAGCACCAATATAAAGTCCACCATAAAAACTTGACAAAGCAGAACTGTAGCTTTTCTCAGTCAGCTCTTATCCCTTGATTCCCCACAGTGAGAACATTGTTTTTTCCACAAAAGCCTGAAGATAGTAAAAAATGCCATAATTAACTTAATGAGGGACAGCATACTTTAGAAATCTGTGGGAGTTCTCATTTGGATGCAATTTTACATTTAGATTTTCTGCACTAATACATGAGCAACTCCAAAGCAGTTGGCGCTCTACAGAAAACTAGTATAAAATGTTCAATAACTTTATTTGTATTTAAAATTTACCTTTAAATGCTTCAAGTCACAAATGAAAATGAAATTACTGACATTTTCTTGTCGGTGATACCCCTGTTTGCCTTTTGAAGCTGAAGAAATAACTTAGAGCAAATCTGTTTCTTAAAAGAGAGATGGAGTATCGACACCAGGACAAAAATGCTGTGTCATTTTAGGATGCTAAAAGGCTGTTCTATGTGCCAGCCTCAAAGAAGTGACATCTGGCCCAACAAGAAGTGAGGTATTTATATTTTCTAATTATTATGATGGCTATTTATTCAAGAAAAATTAATTTATAATGTAAGAATTAACCTTCCTCTTCATCATTTACTTATGTATTTGTAACCCAGCAGCAGTTCAGCAAATATTTTTAAAATGCACTTGTTTTTGTATACTAAAGTTGTGCGTCACAGCAAGAGAAAGTTCAAGTGAAAGCTTAGAGAAATCAAGGGAATTCAACATTTATTTAGAATCATAGAATATTAATTCCCTCTTTTGCTGGATCAAATCTCAATTCAGGAGAACACATTCCTGCTTTTCTGACTTAACACAGACATGGAAAGGGACATCAATACCTGACTAACCTAGAGCCTTCCATATAATAAAAGCATATTCCTGAATTTCAAATGGATTTAAAACACAGGAACAACTTCTATTGCATTTTGCAGTACTTTTTGATTCAGTTACGTTTGTTTTCATTTGGTTTTAGCACCTTTATAACCAGTAGTTGGACAGCCAAATATAATTCTGTCTTTGGTGGGACTGACATTAGACTGTAACTCTCTTCTCCCCAAAATATATTTTATTTGAAATTAAATGGAATATCTTGATCCAAGTGTGTGCAAATAAATGTAGTTTTAGAAACAGTTTTGTTATTTGATATTTATTGAAAGAGAAGCCACATACACGTATGTAAATACATGCATGGGCAGTACATTCTGATCCCTTCCAGGTTGTGAGTTGGTTGAGTTCCTGAACAAACCCTCTGAATGCTGCAGTTATTGGGGTACCATTATGGGATGTTCACGCAGGCCTCATTATAAACACAAAGTCAGCTCATAAACATTAATAAAACATAAGAAACAAGTCAGTTCTAGTCCCAGTCCACAAAATGGAAGAGAAAGAAATGGAGATAAATACAGAGGATTTGAAAGGTCAAATATTCACCCAGTGCCTTTTCTGATTAAACAAACAGCCACACTTTCTAAAACCTTGCCATAAATCAACTTATCCCTACTGGCCCCATCTAGAACAACTATAAAACATAAATGCAAACAGAAAGTCAGATTTTAATCCCAAACTTCCACTACTCTGTTAGAATTTCAGTTTTCTCATCATTTGCTCTAGGTTTTCCTGCACAAAACGCAAACCTCTGAGGGGGGAGTTTATTTACAGCTGAGATAAGAAAATGCTCCTCTGGAACAGCACACACTACAGCTTTACCTCCTCAGAAAAGGAGATCACAAAGGCATGCAAAAAAGACAGCTCACGACCTATGCAAAATGTTTGTGACATGCACCCATTCCTGTGATTTTGTTTGTAGAATAGTACAGTCACTGCTTTACATCACAGCTTGTTGTACCAGGAAGAACACCAGGGGACAACAGTGGGCACTCACGATATGCTTACTTTTCTTTGAATCTCATGCAGAACATTATGCAATGAGAAATGCATTTGTCACAGACATCTCTGTTAAATTTCTCTAGGCATAAATGCTAAACTCAGCTTTTATGAACTGTCCTTTAGTAGAAGGCTGTTTTGTTTGATTAAAAGGAACATTTCTTTCAGTCATTTGCAGCACTCTGAGCCACATTCACACACACTGTCAAAGTACACAAGATTTATTCACTATCATTACTGAATCTTTTGTGCCTTCCCTTAATTAAAGCCTTTGCATTTCAGCTGATGATCAAAGGCCACGTTCAGAATGCACTCAAGTTTTGCAAACAAATAATGCTAGATCCTTTCCTTGGTTACTATGGATTTATTCCATCAAATCAACAGAGGCTTCCAGTGAATTCCCAGCACTCACTGCTGTTGGCTGCTCAAATGCACTCTTCTGTCATCACTTCTATACACTCCTGGCATCTCACAATAACTAAGTACACACATCAGGCAAGGCAAGATAAAAGACACCACTGAAAGCAGCCACGGAAAAATTGACCTGCACTCCTTCAATAAAGCACCTTCCAGGAGAGCATTCCCAGCTCCAGCGAAACTGAAGTCGTATGGGAACACAGTGTGCACACACAGGTGCCTGGAGGTGCTCTGGGACAGTGACCGTGTGCACCTTTACAGGGCAAAGACCACTGAGCTCTGCTGCCACAGCCATACAGCCCCATCTCACCACCACTGCCCATCACAGCCCAGGAGTTACTGTTTCTTGGGGTTTTCCAAAGAAATTTAAACTTCACGTATTTGTGCTGGGTGAGCTGAAAATGCCGAAATTGTTACGGGGTTCTGCAACAACATCAATCAGCTTTTATGGGATAGAACGCATTGCGGTACATGCAGCAAATTATTTTTTAAAAGAAGATATTTTACATTCACCAGCTATTTATTTTCATCTTATGGATTAAAAATTTGCTAAATAGTTCAATCAACATATTGTAGTCAGCAAAGTAAAACACTTCCATCAATACTTTGCTGGATAAGTGCTTATTGAATGGAGGACAATACCAATACAGTAATTTTCCAACCTTTAGTGCACAATTATTTCCAACAGTCCACATAAAACAAAAGAGAAAATCTTTTCCCAGTGGGTATGCACATGGTATTGCAGGGTTTACAGTTCCAATGGAAAAGCTGATAGATAAACTAATAAATGTTAAAACTGAATTAAAGATGAAAACAAATAAAGGAAATATAAGTTACATCAAATAACACCAATGTTTTGTAACAACTATATTATTTTATAATAAATTAATTAAATTTAAACTTATAAAATATATATATTCCCTACTACAGATAGTAGAGGGAAATATGTATGCCCCTATTATTTGCTGTATAGCAACTGACAGTTTCATCTATTTACTTATCTGAAAAGGTCAAACAGAAGGGCAGGACTATCTGCATCCTTTCCATAGGCAGAGTTTGAATGTGACTCTTTTGCAGAGCATGGAGTCAAGACCATTCATTTGTGCAGCACTGACACTGTGTGCTACCTCCAGGCACACTTCTCAAGATGTAATGTGAAGATAATAGAAAACACATATTTCTCAGTCTCTAAGAATCTTCCTAAGCTGCATTTCTTTCAGACATCTCAGTATCTTTCTCCGTGTAGGCTGCATCTTTATGTGCTTTCTAGAGAACACACGGCACAAGAGAGGCACCACGAGATCCCCCAAGCAAAGACTGAGGTTAACAGAATTTAACAGCTTATGTAGGTACATAACTTGGTGTATGAATAACGAGCAGAAACACACAAGAGTCTTGCGTGTTTGATTATAAATACAGTTTTGTTTATCTGCTTTTACAGCCTGGTCATATGATCCGAATTGCCTTAAAAAACCTCACAATTCAAACAGACCAGATTACTTAGGAAC